AGCTCCTCCACACACCTGAGCTCCTCCACACACCTGAGCTCCTCCACACACCTGAGCTCCTCCACACACCTGAGCTCCTCCACACACCTGAGCTCCTCCACACACCTGAGCTCCTCCACACCTGAGCTCCTCCACACACATGAGCTCCTCTACACCTGAGCTCCTCTACACACCTGAGCTCCTCCACACCTGAGCTCCTCTACACACCTGAGCTCCTCCACACACCTGAGCTCCTCCACACACATGAGCTCCTCCATAGCTGAGCTTCTCCACACACCTGAGCTCTTCTCCACACTTGAGCTCCTCCACACCTGAGCTCCTCTACACACCTGAGCTCCTCTACACACCTGAGCTCCTCCACACACCTGAGCTCCTCTACACAGCTGAGCTCCTCCACACTTGAGCTCCTCTACACACCTGAGCTCCTCCACACACCTGAGCTCCTCCACACACCAAAGATGTGATAATTAACATTATCCTGAGTTAATGCACACTTGTCATGGTTCAGCCTTTTGAAGTAATCAGTAGTAATTGAAGTCTCCTAATACATTAACTTGATCAAAAAGGGTCACAGACTGCATGGAGCTTTGTGCAGGAGAGAAACCTTTGTGGCCTGCTCACCTCCTCATTGACCCCTTCATCATATTACACTGGGGATCAAGTTTGTCCCTTAGCCCCCATTAACTTAGTAACAGTGTCTACTGAGCATTGCCAGGCTCTGTTTGTGGGAGTGAAGTGCTGAGCAAGACTGAAGGAAACTTCCTTCTCTGGGGAATTCGCCTTCTAGATGGGTGGTTTTGATGAGACACAAAAAAAGGTTCCCACTGTAGGCCAGAGGAGGGGGAAAGAATCACTCACACGTGAGCAAAGGCTGAAGCAGCTGTTTGTCTAGGTTTTAAGGTGATTGGTAGAGGCTCAAGAAGAGCAGGGAGGAGTTCTAGGGCACTGTTTGGACTGTTTGGATTTCTGTGAGAAATCTTGTTGGCTTCAAGTATTTCCTAGGTAAATAAATCGTGCCTCTAGCCTTTGGAGAGGGGATACCAGTAGCTTACCTGCTTGGCGTTGTAGATGTGTTTTCTCAAATCCCTTGCCTAAAATAAAGTGATTTAATTAGAACTGGGGGGGGATGCAATCAAGTCCCAAGTCTGTCAGGCACTTCCACCAAATCATAAGCACTTTAAGTTCTGTGGCCACTGAAACACTTTTTATTCCGCACTTTAAAGTTGTTTGTTTCGTATCTTAAGCTCAGAAGTTGACAGATCTGTTTTAGAAGCCTGATGTGCTCCTGAAAGCAGTTTTCAAACTCTTACTTTGTCAACGACTTTTAATGGAATGGTGAGGTGTTACTGTAAAGGGACCTTTGTTTACTCCAGTAACAAGGTGTTGGTCATGAAATCCCAAACTGTCTCCTTCCTGAGTATCAGAGAGCTTCCAAACAGAACTGAACTGACCTCCAGGCCATTCCTTTCTTCCCTCTGAGTGGTGACCTCACCCGTTGCCAGCTGGAATTGGGAGCTGGGAGATCAGTTTAGAGATGTTTATTGTGATTCCCCTGTTCGGATCGAAGCATTGTGAATTTCCAGAACACAGCCAGTCTTACCGAGGACCAAATTAGCCTTGCAAGCTCCTTATATGTCTGTGCAGTGTTAGTGTGATGTCTAAAAATAGAGCTGGATGATGAGATACCTACTTAGGCAGAAGTGAATCAAAACTCTTGCTTTTCAATTTTAAACCATAGTTTCTTTATCTAGAAGTTGTGGGGAATGAACTGAAGTTCAAAGCTTTCTAATAGGGTTACTTGCTTTAAATACTCAATGTACTGCCTCCCCACTGTAGGTCTCTAATAAATAGTACCTTACTAGTTTTTATAGTGAATCATACTGGAGAATTATTTGCACCAAAATGATACCAGAGAATAAGTAAGGCTGTAAATGTCCTTTAATGATATCTTATTGTTAATAATGAATATTAGGGATGATGGCTGAATGAGTCAACTTTAATATGGCAGTATATCTGAAAAGCCCAATAATCCGGCAAAAGTCCCCATGTCGTTCCTTGGTTTAACTTAACCAAACTTAAAGTTTTGGTGTCTTTTCCCATTATGATTTATAAGAACTCAAGGAAGAGAGAAGTGAGAGAGCTGAGAGCATGAACTTGTCAGTATAGTGAGGACCTGGATGCAGATGCCCACAGATCACTCTGTGGGTCCTATCAGGGTGTGGCTGAGTCAAGATCGCTCATTCCTTAAGGGAACATTGTGTCTCTGTGTGTTTAAATACCCTCCTGGTAATGATCCTATCTAATTTGTGCCACTCTGTCTTATGTCTGTATCTTAAGGCATGGTTCCTCCCCGCCCCTGTAAAAATGAATCACTGCCTGCATCCATTCTGCAAGCAGCCCCCCCCCCCCATTGCTATTTCACTGCCTCATGTTAGATGCATTGTCTCAGTGACTGGCGAAGTCACTGAAGATCGCACTGAAGATTGTCTGGGTTCCTGGCTCAGGGACTTTGGCTTTGACACACTTCTTATCAGTCTCCATTTTACCTCTTACTTTTTAAGCGGAGAAAATTATTTGCCCTTTCTGAGCTCAGTTGACTTTTCTATAACACGAGAATAAAAAACTCCCTCTCAGGCTTGATTAAATGTTGACTTTTTTTTTCTATAAATCTCAAGATTCTCAGTGTTCAATGGACAGCGATGAATTTTGTTATTGTTTTATTTTTTTGTGTGTGATTTACATAGTTAAGGGTCTATGGTTTAAACCAAAACAAAACTCTCTATTTAGACTGTGTGCTTTCAGACTAGAAAGCCACAATTTGGCATTTTGTATATGGGTTAATAATTGATTAATGCATACTCTTTTGGCTAACAAGCATACTGTTTGTTGTTATGTGGTTTCTGATAAGAATTACATTAGCATACCATGAAGTTGTATCTTAAATAACTTTGTTTTCAAACCTCTTCAGGTAGCTTCCTAGCTCAAAACTTGTGTGGTGAAATCTGAGATTTTGACCCAGATACTATGATAGGAACTTACTGTGATCTGGGGCCGAATCCTACGTAGATGAACGAGGGGCTTCCAGATTTACTGAGAGCTTGGTACTGTACGCACGTTTCTTGCTCATTTGGTATCGGTGACCATGCCATCTCTGCCTCAGGAAGGGGGTAAGTGAATTGTCCTAACCATACTACTATAAGCGTGTTTAGAATACATGAGATACATGCTTTGAAAGGGTCACCATTTGTAGTTTTTCCTTGCTGGGGGCAGCATGAATGTTTCTGGTTACATTGTTTCTATTTTAGTGACAACTGTTTATATTTCTTTTTAAAGTCATTCAGGGTTCCTCTCCTCTGGATCTGAAAACAGAGTTACCTTATCAATGCACAATGAAAAGGAAAGTCAGGAAAAAGAAAAAGAAGGGAGTCATTACAGCGAACGTTGCTGGGACAAAGTTTGAAATTGGTGAGTTTCTTAAGAGCGCTGCGCTTTTCATGGTTGTTGGAAAAGCTGCCTTGGCATCGCAAACAATATAGAGTTTGGAGAGATGATTATCTTTTATGTAATGGATTTCTAAGTTGCTTCTGTAAAACTGCTGACAGGTTAGAAGAATTCTTTTCCTATGCGGTGGAGGATGATCTGCTTTAAAAGGTGCTGATTTCTAAAATTTCAGTTCAAACAAAAAAATGCATTCAATTAGCTTAGCTGAAAAAAAAAGTGTAGGTCTATACCCAACATTGGATTTTTCTGTAATGTTCAACATTATCAGCTATTTGAGCTTTGAAATTCATCATAAAAAGGTTCCTACCTGTCTGATCTTCTGAAGATTGGTGAACATAAAGTAGATCTTTTCAGCTATTCTTATGTAATCTGAAAGCATCTGGCCTCACTGGAAATTGAGTACATGAAGATCCAAGACTTTGGTAGCAGCAGAGCTGCACCCCCCCCACACACACACATTGTCAGTTCTCCTAGTCTAATCATCAGGGTCTTAACCTAAGAGGCTGTGTCTCTGTTTCTCATGAGTCAATTAATCATTCTGCCCCTGTTGCTGTTTTCTGCTATTAGCCCATTAGAGGAATCCCATAGGACCTAATGCTACTGTTCCCACTCTCTGTCTGTATGTGTCCAATAGCACAGTAGCAGCAAAGCCCCCAGGGAGGCCATCCTGTGATGGCATGATCTGTGACAGTGGAGAGTGGCTCTTTCCTCAAGTCTTGTGTGTGTACTTGATGACACAGAGATCACTATAACACCATGCTTCATTCCCATGGCCTCAGAGAGCAGCTCTCTGACCTCACTTAGATGGTCCCAGGGCTTCTTCAGGTGGCCCTGTTTTCCAGGCATCACTGTAAATAAAGCCAGTTCTTCCTCCAGCAAATAACCAAGAGCCTGTAGGACTGGAGGCCAACTGTCCCTGGTTACCAGTTTTGCACCTGAACGGAGTTGGCCAGATAGTTCATGTCACCCCTCGCTCATTAGTGGAATGAAGAAAGCATTAGAAAAGAGCACTGAAGCTTTGCCCTTTGTACATATTCTTCTTTTAGGTCTCAGAATTCACCAGAACCCAAAGATTATCCCAACTGCATGACTCATCTTAATTTTAAACTCAAGATTTGTTGAAAGAAAAATGCCAATATGTTAACCATAGCATCTAGGTTAAGGAGGAGCAATATTCTTTGTAGTCAAAAGGAAATTCCAAGTGTAAATTTTTTCAGTGGGATCTCAGGGTTGGGGTCTGTAGGGATCCAGTTTCTCAGTCCCTCCTGTGAACCTGGCTTCCCTGTTTCCCACTCTGAGTAAATAGAGCTGGCTTGGTTTTAAGAACAGGAAAGGTAAAAGGCAATTTTATACCTAGGTTCAGGTCATAGAAAAGCTGAGAGTTACCTTAGCTGTCTGTGAGTTTTCAAGGTGCTAGCCAAAGTCACTTTCTAAGCCCTCTGGAAGCGCTGTGTTTCTGGTAAGTCTGAGGATTTTTGGTGCAGTCTAGTTCAGTTCCCAGCTGCTGTGGAGAATAATCTAGCCCTAGATAAGACTGCTGCCACTAATTATGAGCTTATGCTGTAAGTAGTGGGTAGTTCACAGACAGAATGCTGCGGATATATGTACACACTCCCACAATGAGTGTCTTTGAAGGGTTTTAACTCTTATTTATTTTAACCATTTCCTTTCAGTTCGTTTAGTAATAGATGAATTGGGATTTATGAAATCTCCAGATGAAGATGAAACAAGTAACCTTATATGGTGTGATGCTGCTGTTCAGCAGGAGAAGATTACAGATCTGCAGAACTACCAGGTGGGAAGTAGTCACCAGCAGTTACTGTCCGGTGGGGGGGGGCGGTTATACCAATTCCATCCTGATTTTCTTTATGTGGCTTCTTAATCTGTTGACATATTGGATTTCAGTTCTGAGTTATCTGGATGGCCTGTCGTTGTTAGCCAGCTGTGCTGCTTTTCGCAGGAAGGCTGCATCATGTCCACACTTAACCTTTAGGTTATTTTTTTAAAGCAGCATCTAGGAAAGAGTTCTGTCTAAGATGATGCTTTGAGTACCTCCTTAAGATGAGTGACAGGGGATGGGTTGTGTCTGTATGGACAAACACCTCAAGTATCACCTGCATGCCTTCTGGCTTTGATCTCTGTAGTGCAATACAAAGATGTTTAGAAGAAATGAAAAGCAAATAGAAAAGCCTACAAGGAATCTGAGACAATTGACATTTGTTATTTACCCTCCCTCCTTCCCTCCCTCTCTCCCCCCTTCCCCTTCCCCCTCCTCCCCACTCTCCATTCCCTCCTCCTCCCTAATCCCCTCTTCCTTCCTCTCCATATCCTCTTCTCCTCCCCCTCCATGTCATCCCCTCCTCCTATCCCCTCCTCCACATTACTTTAGATTCAGAGAATGCATGGTAGAACAGACAGAGTAAATATTTTAAGTCCCATGTTATCAATGTCTGTATTTATGTCTAGTGTTCCAAAAGCAGTTTGGATATTGAATTGCCATTTATCCAACACAGAATATTAAAATTGTATTATCTTTAATTTTATTATTCTTTAATTTAATATTCTTTAATCTCAAAAGTTAACTGCTAGTGATTTAATTTAAAATCCCTTACATTAATAATTTCTAATCTATTAGAACATAAATCTTAAAGGATATACTTAACTGTGTTACAGTATAAGAGATCATATCCATTGATTTAGTAGATGTTAATAGTTAATATTTACCTTTTTATTTTTCAGAGGATCAACCATTTCCCAGGAATGGGGGAGATCTGTAGGAAGGATTTCTTAGCAAGAAATATGACCAAGTAATCTTCATTTTCTTGTATAGAGAATACCTGAGCAACATTTATACTGTGGCTGGTGGTATTACCTTGTGTAAGGCTGTGTTCAGATGAACGCTGGTCAGATGGGGGAGACACACTCAGAACTAGAGTGGCCTAATGGTCCCCAGGTTCCCACAGTCCCCAGGTCTCCAGGTTCTAGCCTTTACCTTTGCACAGGACATAATGGGCTCAGAGAGATGACTTGTCTTGCAAAAAGCCAAACAAATGGCTCACAGTGGAGCTGGATCCCAACTAGTTTTCACAGTCTTGGGATTGCTTTTTATTACAATGTGATCATTCTTTAAAACAGATATTTGTACAATTTTTAGTGAAACTTCATGAGAAGTCATTTGTTGAATCATAAGCTCTCTGTGTGTTTATTGGCTATTAAATATCTAGCATTTTCCAAGCACTGTACAAGGTACATGTGTGCATACATGCTTATGGATACATGTGCCCATGCTCACTTAGGGTTATGCATTCATCTTCAAGGTCAGGAATCAGAATAAATCTTTCATGTGAAAACTGATAAAAAGGTACTCTAAATGTTCTGTTGGAAAAACCATGGAATTTTTATGCAGTTTACATTTCTGTTGGTTAGACTTTCTTGGATCTTTTTGGCTTAAGAATGAATGTTTAGTAACAAACAGTATTTTTGAAAAAAAGGAGTATTCATAAAAATTAATGCATCATGTCTACAATTAAAGATTATCATTTGTAATTGTACATCTGTCCATACAACATAATAGAACAAGGAGAGAAGGACACCAGGGGCCAGCCAGCCAGCCAGCCACAGAGTAAGAGTGAAAGTAAGATATAAAGAAGTAAGAAAAGGAAACATCCCAGAGGCAAAAGGTAGTCGGGATAATTTAAGCAAGTTGGCTAGAAATAAGCTAAGCTGGGCTGGAGAGATGGCTCAGAGGTTAAGAGATCTGGGTGTTCTTAGAGACCCTGAGTTCAATTCTCAGCAACCACATGGTGGCTCAAAACCATCTTTAATGAGATCTGGTGCCCTCTTCTGGCGGTCAGGCATACATGCAGGGAGAAGACTATACGTAATAAATAAATAATTCTGAAAGAAAGAAATGAAAGAAAGAAAGGAAGAAAGAAAGAAAGAAAGAAAGGAAGAAAGAAAGAAAGAAAGAAAGGAAGGAAGGAAGAAGAGAAATAAGCCAAGCTAAGGCCGGGCATTCATAAGTAATAGTAAGTTTCCATGTGTGAGATTTATTTGGGAGCTGGGTGGTGCGCCTCTCAAAAAAAATAAAGAGTAAAAAAAAAACAAAAAAAAAAACAAACAAACAAACAAACAAAAAAACCAAAAAAAAAACCAATCCCCCCCCAAAAAAAACCAAAAAAAACCAAAACAAAACCAGTAAAAGTACCAATAACAGCTTAGGTTGCAAAAATGTGATAATTTTTAAGTACATGAGATAAATAAGATACATAGATTATTGTTCTAATAAAAGCCTTAACTCTGCCTAATTTCAGGTCAATGTTAAAATAATATAATAAACACATGTAAAGGAGTTGAAATAAAAACTATCGCATTAGCACTAATTTTATTTAAAAGTCAAGCTATCAAACCAATCAATTATTTTTTTTTTACTGAGATTATCTAGCTGTGGGATTAACATACTGTAAGCCACTGCAGTTGGAAATGATATTATTTCCTCTCTCATGGTGGTAATGTCATATCTGTGTACAAGCTTACGAAAGAGAGCAGGAGGCCCGGGGAAGAGAGCAGGAGGGGGGGTCAGATTCTCGTGTGTGCAGATGCATACTGCTGGAGACCAGAGAGGAAGTTGTGTGCCCCACTCTATCATGCTCTGCCTTGTTTCCTCCAGAGGAAGTCTCTCTCTGACCCGGAGCCAGGCTAGTGGGCAGCCCCGGGATCCTCCTGCCTCCACTTTCCCGTGGTGCTGGGGTTCTAAGTGCACATGTGGCTGTACCCCATTACTTACTCAGGCTCCGGAGCTCTGAGGTCATGCCTATGTGCTCATGCCCACGGGCTTGCTCTCTGAGCCCTGTTGCATTCTTTCCTGCTGAACTATCGCCCCAGCTCAGCATCACTGCAAAAAGCAACCCCTGGGAAAGTCCTTGAAGTGTGTTGTTGATGGTCTGCAAACTCTGATCTCAGATCTCAGCCTCTGCTTTTGTGCATTCTGTCCACTGGGATTCCATTTTAACTTTGACTAACCTTATTTGTAGACTGTACTCATCTATAAAAGACCACTCCATATTTAGAAAAGGGAAAAAAAAAGGTTTCTTTTAAAAATATTATCTTCAGAGCTGGAGAGATGCCTCAGCTGTTAGGATTGGTTAAGGACTGCTCTTCCAGAGGGATCAGGGCTTGAGTTCCAGCACCCACATGGCAGCTCATATCTGTTTGTAACCACAGTTCCAGGGGGCCCCTTTCTGACCTTTTCACGCACTAGGCACACACACGGTACACACATAACACACACACACACACACACACACCCCAAAGTTTAAAGAGAAAGCACTACCTTTAAGAATATTTTTAAAAAATCATTCTTTGTTTTCATTTTTATTAAGAATTGATAAATATAAAATACTTTTTGGATAAATCAAAAAGTCAACATTTTTCTCCAGGCTTGATGGCACAAACTTATTATAATCCTAGCTACTTGGGAAAATGAGACAAGAGAATTGTGAGTTCAAGGCCTGCCTTGAATTAATAAAACTACAAAGAAGACAGTGTCACTAGTGAACCCTTCCCTAGCAGAGGGGAGGCCTTATGCTCTGTCTCCAGTGACGCCACATTTCCCTCAAAACCAACATACTCATCATCCTCTCTTTATGGATGACTACAGGCGCAATTCTAGCAAGTGCAATGCTACCACAGACCGTCTTTGGCTGTGCAATCACATGAATTGATGGTTCGTTCAAATAAAACTTCTATGGATTCAGACTTTGAGGTGGTTTTCTTAGAAAAGCATCAGCGTAGAAAGAAGTCTGTGGATGACTTGGGGTCGGGAACACCAAGAATTAATGGCAGTATAAATGATGTGCTCCCTGAACTCTCCCTGAGGAGTGACTAATAAATACCTGTTAGCCTGCCCTTTATACCATGAGTCTATTATTACAGTATCTTGTATGCAAAGCCTATCAGTAAATTCACTGGAGGCAAAGGCCTTGCTAATTCTGCATGCTTCACCAGTGCCTAGTATAGTACATAATCAAATAAATATTCCTTGTATTAAAACACAATCAGTGTTGATAACCTCAAGTTTGGGCTATTGTCTAGTACACAGACATTTTCTGAATAGAAAAATAAGTAAAAGAATAAATGAACAAAAATTAAGTCTTCATAGTTACAAAATTAAGACTTATACTTATTATGTTTGAATGGAATTTACATTTCCTCTTTCTCTGATTTACAGAATGATCAAGTGTCGGCCCCTGGATTATACTTTTGTTCCTCGAACATGGATTTTCCCTTCTGAATATAGTCAATTCCAAAACTATGTGAAAGAACTGAAGAAAAAAAGGAAGCAGAAAACTTTTATAATAAAACCAGCTAATGGTGCAATGGGTCATGGGTACGTTGATTTTTTTTTTTCTGGAAAATATGAACGTTGAAAGCCGAGAAAGATGTGCACATAATTACTCATGGTTGACTGTCATACTGGAAAAACCAATAAGTTTCTAACTACCATGTTTTATGACTGAATCTTCTAACAGACTTCAGTAATCCAATTAAAAATATAACAGAATTGTGAGATGTTAGAGAAATCATAACTTGCAGGGAAATTTTATTTTATTTCTTCATAAGCACAATAGATGCTTATAATAATTTCAATAATCTTGGATAATAAGATACATTATTACAGAAGAGCTAAAGTAGAGAGAGTTATCTTGTCATAATGATAATGCTTGAAGCAAAATGTCTATATTCCCTGCTTTATGAATGTTTTCCTCTTGTAGCAGTGGTGACTGGATTGAGGTTACACATACATTTTAAGCTAACATGCCAAAGAACTACACAATTTATCCAGGAATAAATAGAATGCACAGCATGATATTTTTTATCCCCTTTGCTTATGTTATCTTTCTGTATGCACTGTTTTTTTTTTTAAATAGAAAGTTGGCTGAGGCCGTATTTAGCAAAATGCATGGGAGTCATTTGAACTTTTTTTTTTTTAAATTTAAATTGCTATACTGCAAAATATCCTTGGAAATGGTAGCTGTCCAGTTAAATATTTTTTAAAAATTTAACTTTTTAGCATGATGCACTGATTCAATCATATATCATGTTCAACCATACTTGGTCAAGTACAAATTAAGAAATGTGTTAGTGAGTGGAGATTTTGTGTCCTTTGATTACCGCCATGTTGGCTTCCTGTTATCTATTAGTGAAAAGGAAACTGGAGGAGAGACGATGATTGGTGTATGTTTCTTAATGCTTGTGATAAATTAATAAATATGTTTATTAATACTAGTACAATATATTTGATAGCAATGCAAAAGAAAAAGAATGGGAAAACATCACAGAGAGGGCACTCTCTATACTGTGGAACTGTGTCCTGCGATATAATAGTGAGTGGATCAAGCGGACTTCTGTTACCTGTTGTCTATGTCTGCTTTCTCAATACTCTGCCTAGTGGACTGTTATGGAAAATTGGCTACTGAAGACTGAAACTAGCAAGGCTGAGTCATTTCTCCCTTCATTTTGATCACTTTTTTCTTGCTAAATTTTGTATCTCATCAGAGATATAATTTATAATTTTTATATTCTTAAGATATTTGCTTATCATATGGCATCACATCTTGTCTCTTGTCTGTTATGGCAATTTTTGTTTAGCTGGATATAAGTGTAACCACTTCAGAATACTGCTTGTTTTCATTTTCCCATCATTTTAACATTTAACCTTTTGTGTCTTTAATTCTAAAGGAGATCTTCTATTAGATGACATTGCAGTTAAACCAATTATGTTTAAATCCATTTCTCAAGTCCTGCTTTTCAAGCCAATCTACCAAAGTTTAATTTAGTTACTAAAAGAGACTGTTTTTCCTTTGACATTTTGCTATTTGCTTTATGATCATCATGCTTGCTATATTTCATGTAGTTTAATTTTTTCTTCATTACTTTTCTCTCTTCTATGTAAACAGTAATTTTCTTGCAAATTCTTGAAATTATTTAGCCATTTCTTCTATTATAGATATTTTTGTGTTAGGCAAATCAAAGCAAGCCGAGTTCCTCTAGAGAGACCCAGAGAGGTCAAAGTAAACAGCCATAAGAAGCAGGTCCACTTGGCCCACCGTAGAACTAGCCTCTGGGCTGGGAACTGGATTGCTGTTAAAACCACCCCTGAACTGTGATTGAGTGATGTAAAGGAATTAGTTAAAATGCCAAAAGCTCCATTAACCATAATTTAGCTGCTATTGTCTTCCCTTCCTTCCCTCTCTACTCTTCCTCCCTCCGTGGTAAAATGTTCTCTGGGTGTTGCAAGCTTTTGTTGAACTTCTGTGCCTCCACAGAACTGACTCTGACTCCACCCCACTCGTCGCTCTTGTGGAGGGACGGGTTTTGGAGTTTCTGCAGCACTGTTCTCGTCCTGAGGACATAGATGACATCTTTTTCCCGGCTTTTCAACCTCCATATCAAATTCTTTTTATTTGTTTCCTTTAAACTTAGGATTTCATTGATAAGAAATGGGGATAAAATTCCATCTCAGGATCATTTGATAGTTCAAGAATACATTGAAAAGCCTTTCCTAATGGAAGGCTACAAGTTTGATTTACGGATTTATATTTTGGTGACATCCTGTGATCCATTAAAGATATTTCTCTACCATGATGGGCTTGTGCGAATGGGGACAGAGAAGTACATCCCACCAAATGATTCCAACTTGGTAAGTCACAATAGAGAATATAGTCATCACTCATTTGTTCAGTGTCTGCCTGTAAGTCATATGCTGTATAAGGACTGCTTGGTTCCAGGTCCCTTCCCCAAGGAGCCTGTGGTTGGAAGAATCACTTGCATAAGTCAGGCTGCTTCTCACTTAAAGACAGCTTTGTGGAAACCAGACAGAATATACGATTAGCTAGTTGGGGGAAGATTCTTTCTCTGGTTTGCTTTCTGAGCTTGTGTCTCTGTGCAGGGACCTCTTTAGAAATGGCTGTACTAGAAATAAAGTCAATGTTGTGTGGGAAATGTAGTAAAACATAGGGATCACGGTGTTCAACTCCTTATGGGAGAGCTGAAGTCTGAGGATGCTTTGTGTACAAGGTACAGTGTGAACATGTAAACATGGCAGGATGTGTGAAGATAAAAATCAAAAGTTATCACTGGTTTGGGTTGTTTTTTAGTGGTAAAGGGAGGTAGGCTCTAAATTTGCATTAACGATATATGAAGTTAAGGAAAAAATGGACAGTTTCTGTATGCATTGAGAGGTCTATTAAATGAACCATTTTATAAGTATTTTTTCACTAAGATTTTCTTTGTACAGCAGTTCACATTCATGCAAGTTGTAACTATAATTTTCCATGAATATAATAAACTGTAATTTATTGCTTATACATGTTAAATTGTAATCTATCATCCATACATTTTTAGTTAGCTTGTAATCTTATATTGTGAATATACTGACTATAAGAAAGGTAAGTTATTGTTTCTCAGCTTTTCAAAGGCCAAATCCTCCTCCTCTTTCTTGTTGATGTTTGCATGTGCTTCTTGTAAGATCAGTCATTTCAAAAATAAATAGTGGCTGACCCTCAGAGTTGTTAGCATTAGTAAACTAAAATTTTGCAAACCTGGCAAGGAAAAAATGAGGGAACTATAAAAATATTTAGGAAAAGACATCAAAATAGATATTTTATTTATAGTTCCAAAGTTTATTTTTAGCTTTCCCCATGTAATGTTTGAAGTGCACTGCGTTCCTTAGAGTTCTGCTGTTTTGAGGAAACATTAATGTAAACATTACTTAAATACAGAGTGTGACTTCATAGAAGCAGCAGTCTAGTGGAGAGGTAGCAGGTCAAGTCAGCATTTAGAAAACCTGATTGCAAGTTTGAATGTGGGTCTCTGAATCTGAGGGAGGTATGGGAATGCAGAGTGGGCCATCCCTCCAGATGGAGTCTGAGGTCAGAGAAGAAGACTGAGGAATGAGCTAGCCAGGCTCAGGGCTGGGGAGAGCATCTCACAAAAGAGAGGATTATGGGAAAGAATATGAAAAGTCTGTAGGGAGCAGACAAGTTCAGTTTGGGTAAAGTGCAGGGCAGGAGAAATGATGTGTCTGTTCAGTGATGAGCCAGAGGGTCCCCAAAGCAGGATTTTCCATACATTGCAAAGGACTTTCCAGGACTTGGGGATTCAACTCAAGAAGATACATTGAAATGAATTACATTTGGGGTTTTAAGAAGTCCATCTGGCCTGCCGTGTGGAAAGTGAGATGGGAAGAGAGCACACAGGGGGCGATAACAGAGACTTGAATTGTGGGGAATCGTACACCATTTCAGTCTAGCCGTGTGAGATGGGAGCTGACTCTGAAATTGGGGCCAGACTAGGAATTGAGAATGGATTTGAGATATAGTTAAGGTCACACAGAGAGCATTGCTGTGGAGAGGTGAAGAGCTGGGCATGTGGGGTAAGGGAAGTCAGACAAAACTCGTCCTGTTTGGCCTGGACCCTAGGAGAATGAGCTGTATTCCCATGGCAAGGGACTTCAGCAGCTACTGAAGGCTTTGTGGGAAATTAACATATTTGGCTTTGACCTTCAACTGGATCTGTTCCACATGGATTCGGTTATTCACGGAAGAACTGCCTGAGTTCTTAGGACATGCCAGCTTGTAGATTATCATTTAAATAATTGGAAAGGGTAAAAGTGGGTCATGTTTTGCAAGGTGATGATATCTACTGATGATGTTAGACATGACAAGGCTTGGGGGCTTCTGTTCTGAAATGCTAAGCTGCGTATACATAGTAATTTCACCGGGCTACGATCATAATGAAGTCTGGGAAAAGAGAGGTACAAGCCCTGGGCTTAACTTGGTAGTTTTGAACATGTAAGTTACTGCTTTTGGTTCCCACATATATAGAAAAGGTAAGTTCTTCTTAAATGCCAGTATCTATCGTTTATCTGTATATTTCACTACTGAATCCCTGGATGGTAGTGTGGAAAAAAATCAAAACTTTATGTAAACTGATTATACAATTTTGTAAGAGGTTGTTTTTAAAAAGATGAAATAAAAGTGAAAACAGTTTCTTTAGTGGTTTTGGGATGGCATGATGTTGCATAGTTCTTTTTACTCTAATTTCTAATTTTTAAAATAATTAATGTACAGTTTTAGTAGTTCCTGTATTAATAGGAAATTATATTGTAAACTTGATTGTAGTTATTAGTGGATTGATCGACATCATTACATGTTATTTTGTTCATGACTACAACAGAGATTATGACAAATGCTGAAATATAGCTTTCATATTTTTGCTTTGCTTTGCTTTGCTGAGACAGGGTCTCATCTAACCTTGGCTGACCTAGGTTCATTATGTAGCCAGGGATGAGCTTGTGCTCAGGATTCTTCTGTCTCCACCTTCTGAATGCTAGAACTATAGGCACATGCCAGCATGCCCATCTGCTGTAGAGACTGGTCCATTGTTCAGAAGTTTCGTATTTATCAGCTCACTTGATTAAGTCTATGTGATGACAAGCAGTGTTGGGAATAGCTACACAATTTAACATCTATGGGCTTTCCTGGGGTTCTTTCGGCCCTCCTTAAATATTGCATCATGAATGAAAAAACATTTTCAGTAGTGATGGGCACACAGATTAATAAAGAAGAAGCTGTCTCTGCTTATTTGCTTTGAAGATTTTAATTAATACACAGAACTCTGGAATTATATTAAAGATAAAATGCCAGAAGGGTAAGTTAGTTATCAAGAATCAAAATAATAGTTATATGTGTAGAATATATAAATATACATGTCTGTAGAAAATATATATATATATATATATATATATATATATATATATATATACACACACACACACACACACACATAATATTCACCATGATGCAGCTTTTCTACTCAAAACTATCTTGGGGAATAGGATTAGGAAAAGGGTGGTAATTAAAGATAGAATTTGTTAATGTTTATGCTAATTTGATGAGGAAACATTAGATGTTTACTGAGAGTTAATAGAAGTTTTGAATTTTGGATTATTTTCAAGTTTACCTAAAGGAAATGGTAACAACAAACAAAAGAACTAGGTGTGGTGGCTACCTCATGGACCTGAGGCAAGAGGATTATTGTATCAGGCCAGTATGGGTTACACAGTGAGTTCCAGGTTATCTAGTGAGCCCCTGTTAACAACAAACACTCCTATCTAAAACAACAAAATAATACAAAGAGTCTAAAAGGCAAACAGCAACATGGAGCCAGGTCTGTTTCACAGTTGGCATCTGTCCAGTATTATCAAATGCACAGCCTGCTGACACCAAGGCCACTGACTGCAGAGTGCAGGTGCCTTCTCAGTCAGAGTGGAGTGAGGGACACATGTGTTTGTAGTCCTGTCTTTTGGGTACCCTGCTTACTGATGCTTTCATTTTTCAATTGTTCTCTTAAGAGAAGGGGAAAGTTTCTTAGAAAATTCCTTCCTCGAATAGATTGGATGAACCATGTTGAGACCAAGCATTAAAAGCACATTGGCTAATGAAGGCAGACTCCGAGTATTTTGATTCAACAAAGTCTAGTTTCACATTTTAGTTTTTGTCTATATTGTCATTCATTTGGTGCTTTAATTATAGATATCATAAATAATTAGCAAAGTCATTCTGCAGTACTACTAACACACACAGTTCTCTCAAGGGAAAAGTAAAATTTCACTGGAAAATATTTAAGCACCAAGATCATCAGATGGTATTGTTTAGAGGTTTATGATTTTAATTAGGATATATTAATTATACATAATAATGGGCCTCATTGTGATAGTTTCATACATGCACATGATACATTTTGATCATATTCCCCCATTGCCCTGTCTTGCCCCCCCCACTCTTTGATACCCTATCTCTTTCTAAGCAGCCTCTTTTATTCTTGCATGTCTTTTTATGTTTTAGTTTCCTTGGGTTCCTTACAGGGCCGTTGGGAAGGGCTTATTTACAGGAGCATAGGCATCCCTACTGCTTTCTATTCCATTGGAGAAAATGTCCGTCTCTCCCCCGGCCATCACTTGTTTCCTATAGTTCCCTCAGTGAGGCGGGTGGGCCTTCATCAATGGACTGTTCTAATGCTCTTGTGTCTTGGTGCAAGTAATTACAGCTTTTGTGAGTTCATGGGTGCAATGGCCATGCCATTTCCAGAAGAAAACATTGTACAGCATTCTACCCCTTCCTCCAGCCCTTCCTTCCCCCTCTCTGACGTCCACTAAGCTTTGGAGGGGGCAATGCAGATGTTCAGAATGTAGCTGAACACTCACCTGTGACGTGTGTGCATCCCGTTGACTAGTGAGTCTTGGTAGGTACCCAGGCCGCTGCACAGAGAAGCTTCTTTGGTCAGCACTCAGCAGCACTAACTCATGGGCAAACACGCCCTCATTTAGAAGGCAGTTTAGCAGGTGAATCACATCCACTTGGCAGGACAGCAGCAATAGCTTCCTCATTCTGATCGACTGTCTCTCCAGTCTTGGGTTTTTGACCGGGTTTACAGTACCAGATATGGATTCACTGCTCTGGAGTGGACCTTGAGTCCAATTAGGATGTGGTTGGTTATCTGACAACTGACTTGTCACTGTTACAGCAGTAAGCACATCTTACCTGCTTGGTCATCAACAAGACCGAGGATAACTTTTCTAACCCCACAGCATAGCATCCTCTAACACTATGGAAACAAGGCAGCCAGGAGGAAGGTTTTAGCTCAGTTCTGCCACAACACACCTTGCCTTCTTAGCTTCTTAGCAGACAAGAGAGCGACTTCCTGTTTCTCCCTGCTTGTATCCTGTTTCAGCCCAGCCATATCACTTCCTGTCTGTCTGTACAGACCTCCAGACCTCTGTGGTTAGCTAATAGTCAGCTCTATTCTCTGACCCCTGGACAGGCTTTATTTGTACAAGCAACATATCAGCACACAGTTCTGGTTTAATTTCTGTGCGTCCTGTGAACAGAGCATGCAGGGTTTTCAGGAGTAGTGTCTAGCCCTGGTGGGGACTCAGCGGCAGTGGCTGTTTTCTGTATTGATTTTGGGGTCCCTGGGCCTCACTGACCAGCATTTTGCAGGGACTATCTGATTATTCAGATCACAATCTTCAGGAATTTTCTATTATCAACCCCTGGCTTCTAGGAGCAGCGTTGCTCAAGTATGCTGCCTGAAGAACTTCTGGGGTTTATTGAGGCTCTCTTCCCTGTGATGTCATGTGGCTGTGGCTCTCCTAGGTGGCAACACTTTGTTCTTCCTCCTTACAGACCCAGTTGTACATGCATTTGACCAACTACTCGGTAAACAAACATAATGAGCGGTTTGAACGCAATGAAACCGAAGACAAAGGCAGTAAACGTTCAATCAAGTGGTTTACAGAATTCCTACACGCCAATCAGCATGATGTTTCCAAGTTCTGGAGTGATATTTCAGTAAGATTCTTCTATTCTGTAACCATAAATGTCTTTCATTAGCATGAAATTTAAATACCACCAAACCTTTTTTTTTTTTAAAGCCTAGTACATGAGGTTGAGCAGATGAGGTTTTTTTTTGTGTTGTTGTTTTTTAAAAGAAAGTAGACTTGTGACAGGCTGTAGCCAGTAAGAACCTAATTTCTAGAGATAGGTGTGCTATATAGGGATAACAGCACAGTCAGTGCATGGAGGGATGAGATTGGGAGAGATACAGAGGGTATCACAGGTCTGTGGAGGTTTGCATGAGGTTCCTGCTGAAGTGATGTGTGGACCAACTTTTGCATCTGAAGAGGATTTGAGATCATTCTTCTTTTCTGAAATTTGTGTGTGTGTGTGTGTGTGTGTGTGTGTGTGTGTGTGTGTGTGTGTGTGTGTGTGTGTGTATGTACCAGTGCACAAATGTATGCCACAGCATACATTCAGAGGACACTTGTGAGAGTTGCTTTTCCCTTTGTAGAGAAGCTTGAGGATCAAATGAGGCTCACCGGGTTTGGTAGCTAGCACCCTCACCTGCTGAACCGTCTTGACAACCTCATTCAATTTTTAAAAGGACAACAATATGATTAATATGATCAAATGTCTGCATCTGAAAGACACATCAAAACAGGCATAGGCTGGATTAAAGCCAGCAGTAAGGATAGGCAGAGAAGACACTTGGGAAGGCCCTGGAAGTAGTTGAGGTGAACGGATGGCTTAGGGTGAACCCTAGTGAAAGAGAGACAAGGAGCTCGACCTGGGGGTAACTGATTGTCCACAATGCAGAAGAGGGTCAAGGATTTATCTGTTTTCAGGAAGAGTGGAAGGGAGAACGCACGCTATATCTGCAATAGAATAGGAAGAAATTTATTTTTAGTATAGAATTAGTTTGAAGGTGAAGGAAAGGAGTTTTTCTTGTTTACAGATCCATCATTCCATCCTTTCATCCGTCCTTTTATCCACCCGCCCTTCCATCCATCCACCCACCTACCCATGAATCCACCCATCCATCCACTCACCCACCCATCCATTTTCATCCATCATCCATCCTTTTATCCACTCATCCATCCATCCATCCATCCATCCATCCATCCATCCATCCACTCCAAGCCCTTAGATCACTGTCTCAGCAGAACCAAGAAAATACTATACACTTTCTGACATTTTGGGTTTTTTTGCATCTTTACCAGCACATTACTTCTGTATGAGTCTGGGTCTTTGAGTTCTTGTGAAAATGTAATCTATTGGTCTGCCTTAGTAGGGGGACACGAGAGTGAAGGACCAGCCAGCAAAATGTAGTTGCAATCTCCTCTTCCGACACTGTTTTTAGACAGTACCTTTCCTGCCCAATTGAGTCAGGAGAAAGTGCTCTAACAAGACAAAGGGAGGGTATGGAAATGAGCTTGTGTGTTAGATCTTGAAGTATAAGTTTTAGATGTGAGCCCAAAATACTAATGCAAGCCCTTTAATCTCTAACACATTGCATGATCTTGTCTACAAATGTGATATTTAGTGTGTTAGTTAAAATGCATATAGTGATTAAATGAGGATATTTTTAAAATGTTCCAAAGACGATATTACAAACATTAAAGTGTCTGTGTGTATGCAGTTATTTGAACTGTTATGTTTCTGGGTGGCAGCAATGAGGTTAACACCCCTTTCCCTTTTCCAAGTAATATGGCTTCCACCCAGTGGTAGACTATTTCACCTGAGCCATGAGATTGACTCCTGAGAAATGACAGACCACCAATAGAACAGTAGTTAAGTAGCTAACACCCTGTTCTAGGCACTGTGCTGGAATTTGTGTCTGGGCTCGCAGCCTGTCCCTTAGTGGCTTACATTCAGGAAAAACAAGACTCAGAATTGAACTCCATGCTTTCACTGCCTAGACAAGAAGCAGGAGAGTCAGGCATAAACCAAGAAGTGACTTAACCATCTTTCTGGTGACCTATTTTCAGACAGTAGGAGTTAGGAAGCCGATGTAAGTAGAGGCCAGCAAAGTGGCTATCTTTCCCATATTCTACTGTTTCCTCATGGAAAACTTTTATATGTGTAGATATTCTGCATGCATATATATATGCACTGTGTGTGCCTGGTGTAGGTGTAGGTCAGAAGGGGGTACCAGAGTGTCTAGAACTGGAGTTAGATGCTTGTGAGCTGCCTTGTGGGTGCTGGAAACTGAACTTGGTTCCTCTGAAAGAAGTTCTCTTAACCACTGAGGCAGCTCTCCAGCTGTGATAGCCAGGATGCATTTCCTTCTCAGAGAAACCTTTACAGAGTACAAGCCAGCACCATGAATAAAAGCAGCACCCACGAGCTTTCTTCCTAGCCCTTCAATATCTGTCTAAGTGGAGGTCCCATAACGCTGTTGGGAAATGCTCCGCCCTCCATAGAATTTTTCTTCTCTATCACTCTTTTCTCCTTCTGTAAAGGGCTAAGCCATATTCCTCTTTATCTTATTTGTTTACAAATATTTTTAAGCATCTGCAATGCCAGGTATTATTATGGGTGCTGGGATGGTGTAAAAATATAGAAAGTACAAGGGTCTTGTTGAAACACAGAGAGAAAAGCGTCAGTTGGTGCATGCTGTGGGTACTAGGATGCATTTCCAAGTGTGGCTGCCTTTCAAGCACGATTGTGGAAGCCCTGTCTGAATATTTAGTGATCAGGCATGAAAATCTAAGGAAGGATGCTCCAGGAAGATGGGACAGCACCGAGCCCCAGGTGGGAAGAAGTAGAGAAATTCAAAGAGAGTTTGGCCAGAGCGATGGGTGGGCAAAGGGCAAAGGGCAAATGGCAGAGCTAGAGGAAGTGAGGAAGAGCAGGATGCTAGCTTCTCCCCAGGCCATTTTCGTATGAAACAGCATCCTAACAAAGGCACTTTCATATCTTTCCTCACAACCTCGATAGGAATTGGTGGTGAAGACCCTGATTGTGGCAGAACCTCATGTCCTGCATGCCTATCGGATGTGCAGACCTGGTCAGCCACCAGGAAGTGAAAGCGTCTGTTTTGAAGTCCTGGGGTTCGACATCTTGTTGGATAGAAAGCTAAAGCCATGGCTTCTGGAGGTAAGGTATTCTCTAGGAAGAAGAAGAATACAGCACTGTTCTTATGTATTTAAAGACTGAGTTTCAAATGTGCGCTTAGCAAGGAGTCCCCAGCTCGCTGGCTGCAATGAGGCCTGAATGGAGTGTGTGGGAGGAGGTGACTGAAAATTCTCGGGCCAGAGTCTTTCCAAAGATGAATCAATATGATCTCATATTGCTTCCTCTCATTAAGATCCAGTGAGCTGAAGTGCGAGCTTGCTGCCTCTGAGCTGTCTGCTGGTTACATGAATATTTCCTCAACCTGGTGGCATCTACCTACTGCCTCATGAGCTCTGGATATTACATCTCCCCTGGGTGGCCACTGCCTCTGGACCCTGACTTTAGTGTGTCTTTAAACACTTCATGGAGAGAGGGGCTCCTGCTGGCTCACTATTTAGTGTCCAGTAGTCAGCATTACAATAAACATAAATCCTCCCTTACAGCCATTTGATATTCCTGAAATGTCTTTGGATTTGCTATCTGTCCCCTCTAGTTATTATTTTTATTTTAAAATGTCACCTAACATATAGAACATTATAAAGAATATCAAAATGCCCTTTGCTCAAGACACTAGTGTATTGTGCAGCCACGTTTACATTTGCGTAATTCACACAGCACCTCACAAGCCTTTTCCAGCTGTCTCCCATCCAGATGTTTACTCTAGGACCGCAAACTGGGGTCCCAGGAAGAATCTAACTTCTCGGGGCTACTCACACACTCATTTGAACTATGTCTCCAGAGTGAGTTGTAGTTGAAGGAACTTACTACCACAGAAGCTGCCATCAGCCACCACCTTTCATTCCAGAGGGCGTCCCTCTTGTCGTTAGTGACTGAGAAGTCACAAGTCACACCAGAGTCTGCAGCTTTTTGCAAGAGAACCCGAACGTGTGCTAAGTGAGACCTTGGTTCAAAACATTTGGAAGGAAAGCACAGTTTTCTAACTTGAGTGAGGGAGAGAGGGAGAGAAAGAGAAGAAGTGTATTCATATATTCTAGGCAAATAACATGTATTGTATGTCCAGGAAAATCCATCTGCTACCTAGAATTTTAGTCCAGCCTGGTCCTAGAAACAAGACTTGGCGGAATCATGTTTTCTTTGCTTCTGCCATCCTTGGGTGGAAAAGTACTTGACTGTGTAGCATGGACCCTCCTTCTTAGTAAGGCCTGGAATCTTGAAGACTGGACACTTGGACCTTGATAGTTGCTTCCTCTTGTGGCTGTGCTTTCCTCTGCTCCTGTCCCGGTCACTTACCCCTGATGTGTGGAGCAGTGAAGGCATGCTCATGTTTCACAAGGATGAACTAAAAGGATTGCTGGGAGTAAGAGCTGTATATAGAATCCGAATTAGATGTTACAAAAAACATTTGTTCCTAGGAGCTTTCCATCAGGTTGCTAAATCAGAACTGACTTAACAGTTGGATTCTGTATGTTTTCTTTAAAAGGCTCGCAATAAACACATCTCTTTATTATTTGTATTTCTTCATTGGTTCTGCCTAACTCAATGCGGAATCACTAATAAAACCCTCCACAGCATTACTATCTGTGAACAGTGAACAGTTTGCATGTTCAGATACTAAATGTCCTATTTTGAGAGCCTGCTCTGCATTTTGCTGCCAACTGATGCTGCTGCCAGGCTCACATTCAGTGTTGAAAACCTTCTGGCGCCACCATGTGGAATAAAACAGAGGCGCCTCGGAGGATGAGATGACTAGCTACTTGGAATCCCAGCAACGATTGTCATTGGCAAACTTAAAGAAATTTGTAAGCGTTAAAAACACTTTCAGGGACAGCCTAGTCATAAAGCTTGGGAAACAGCATTGAACCGAACCAAGCCCTCTGAATGTGGGTGCCAGCTAGGAAGCCAAGACAGTCTATCAGATCTCAAACAGTGGAGCCAGTCTTTAACCCAGAGCACAAATGGACTTTGGGAACTCATTTCCTATGGAGGGACACTATTGCAGCCCAGATACAGCAAGGAGGGCCTAGGTGGGGGGATGGATATGTAAATATGAGTGATAAAATAAAAGAAAATACTGGGAAAAACCAAAACAAACAAACAAACAACCAAACCAAAAAGCCACTCTCAGGTTGGAAAATTGAGCCCAGCCTGTGCCTGTTGTCAGGAATGTCTCCCAGGTGGTTGAACCAATGCTATCTGAGATGAAAGTTAATGAATCACTGTTGAGCCAGGTAGAGAAAAGCAACAATTTATAATGAAGGAAGCAACAGAACCCATCAAGAAGGTCTTAGGTGGTGAAAGGAGGGAGCTTGTCGTTCCTACGTGCTAAACGTACACATATGTGTGACTATTATTATGTCATAAATATATCTACTATGGGTCTTCCCAACTCTCAAGATAGGTTACTTTTACCTTTTCTAAGGCTTGGTGGCGTGGGCCAGTAGCTTGGAGTGCCCAGGTAATACTGACAGAAACCACTAACCATGTAGAGCAGTGGTTCTCAACCTAACTAGCGCTGCGACCCTTTAATTCAGTTCCTCATGCTGTGTGACCTCCAACCATGAAATTATTTCATTGCTACTTCATAACCGTAATTTTACTACTGTTATGGATCTTAATGTAAATACCTGTGTTTTCTGATGGTCGTAGGAGACCCCTGTGAAAGGACCATTTGACCGCCATGGGTTGAGGAACTTCTGTTGTATATGGAGGAGCTGGTCTTGCAGATGTTTCTCTGCAGTTCTTTGCCATAGGGCAATAGAAAAACGGGTGTGGCTGTGGGGACTGGAGCATCTTCCTTGTGAGACTGATGACTGGAAATTACCAGTTAGTAAACATGACTGGATTATGTATTGACCTCCCGACGTGCAGCCAAACTCATGTTTTCTCTGTAAATTTCAGATTAATCGAGCCCCAAGCTTTGGAACTGATCAGAAAATAGATTATGATGTCAAAAGGGGAGTTTTACTAAATGCACTCAAGCTGCTGAACATCAGGTGAGCTTCTCCTCCACTCTCTGGGGCCCCCCAAACTTCAGGTGAGCTTCTCCTGTGCTTGCTGTGGTCCCCCCAACATCAGGTGAGCTTCTCCTCCACTCTCTGGGCCCCCCCAAACTTCAGGTGAGCTTCTCCTGTGCTTGCTGGGGTCCCCCAAACTTCAGGTGAGCTTCTCCTGTGCTTGCCAGGGTCCCCCAAACTTCAGGTGAGCTTCTCCTGTGCTTGCTGTGGTCCCCCCAACATCAGGTGAGCTTCTCCTCCACTCTCTGGGGCCCCCCAAACTTCAGGTGAGCTTCTCCTGTGCTTGCTGGGGTCCCCCAAACTTCAGATGAGTTTCTCCTACAATGTCTGGGGTCCCCAACAACATATGAGCTTCTCCTTCACATTCTGGGGTCCCTCAAACATCAGATGAGTTTCTCTTCAACTTTCTAGGGTCCCCAAACATCAGGTGAGCCTTTCCTCCACTGTCTGGGGTCCCCCAAACATCAGATGAGCCTTTCCTCACTCACTGGGGTTCCCCAAACATCAGGTGCATTTATTCTTCCCTTGCTCAGGTGAACCTTTCTCCCACCCTCTGGGGTCCCCCATCTTTGTCACCAATAAAGCATTCACACGTGAAACTGGCTTTGCAAAGAGAATCTTTATCTTTTTGTGTTTTACGTTGAGGCCTTCTTCATTCCATTCTGCAAACCCACATTGTTAAAAAACAAAGAAACACAGAAACAAACAAAAAAAACACCTTTCCAGTCTCCCGTTCCCACTGCCACTATTTTCCCACACAGCACTGTGCTCCTGTGGTAAGTGCTGTTCAGTCACAAAGGTTACCCTGGAGTACAAGCTTAGATTGGTTGGTGCGGTAGGGGCCCCTCTCATTGAGGGGAAGTTAAGCACCCGGAAAATCTCAAACATGGATGTCCTACCTTCATTAGTCTTTCTTCTCTGTCTTGCTTCTGTGTAAATGGAAAAGATGACATTGTTCAGTGAGGTCACCGTCACTGGAAAAGACAGACCCAGTGGGAAGAAATATGTGAGAGGAGACATGGTTGGGGTGGGGAGAGCTGCTTGAAGTGAGCGTGTCCTGGATTCAGGCATTTGAGATGCTGTCATGTAGAAAAGACTTCTGACTCCTAATGAAAGGAAATTATTAGGGGAGGCAGGAGGATGGTGAGTTTGAAGCTAGCCTGAAACCTGTTTCGTCAAGGAAGAAAAGAGAAAAAGTATTTAACATAGCTGCTCCATGATGCATGCTCGGCCTTGATTAGAGGGCCCTGAAGGTCAGCCGGGGATTTTATGCTCCATTTATTCTCATCATCGCTCAAGAATTCTCAAAGAGTTATGGAATACTTCAAGGAATTTTCTTATTTAAAATATTTTTAAGTATTTAGCAGTTGCCATTGAGGTCTTGCTTTATATGGAAAACATCATGAAAAAAGGACATGGACACTGCAGTCTGATTTGACATTTCCACATGGATTCTGTGGCTTGGTGAAAGGAGCACACATCTGCAAGTTTCAGTTTTTTGTTGTTGTTTAGTCTACGCACTGTGAGTTTAGATGATATCAGCTATATTTTTACATGGTTTCCTATTATAATAGAGCCTTATGTTTAACTTAGGGACATCCTTGGTGTGCCTTTAGATTAACAGATGATGATAGTGATTCACAAATTATCTGTGGGTAGTTTGCTTATTTCAAAGTGAGGAATATCTATAATTTAAGGAGCAAGAAATTTCTAAAGGTCTGAGCATGGGGCCTCTTCCTTATCTATCTGCATGTTCTCCTTAGGACATAGCACAGTCTTAATCCTTAGCGCATGTGTGTTGCACACCTGTCTTCTCTCTTCAACCATGGAGGGTCCACGGCACGTGTCTCAGTGGCTGGTTCTGTGCTGCACATACCATAGTGATTCACATCAGGAACAGTAGGGAAGTCCTTGCCTTGCATTCAGTGTTATGGTCTTCATCTTGATATGGGTAGAATTGCTCTGTGATTTCAGAATGCTGTTTTCCCTTCGACTACCAGAAAGGAGATTTTCTCTTTCATTATTTGTCTTTCTTCTTAGGAACCCAAACAGGGTTTTGTTTGCTAAATACCATGGCTAAGCTTCCTTAAACACAATTATATAACTCTTGTATCTTAACAAATCTGTGTTTTCTCCAAGCCGTGCTAGCTGGCTGATTATCTCATTGTTTTCCCCATGCCTCCTGCTGGTTTGTTCTGTTCCCTAATCTAAGTGGATGCTTTTCCTTGCTTTCTGTAACTCAGAAACTTTCTGCCCTATTTTATTGTAGAACTCTCCATTTTGACCCTAGTTAATTTTTCCACCCTGTAATATTTTGGTGGCATTAGCGTGTACTTAGTACAGGGTCTATCACTCCTTCCTTTTTCTCTGTGATGTTGTTTTTCGGTTGTGCCTGACTTTCTAATTTTATGAATGCTCCTTACAGTTAAGAGTTTTTTTTCCGCAAATCTTATTGCACCAGTGTACCTGTGGCGTGCCTCTATCTATGCCTCCACATCCACTTTAAACCATTGTGCTCTGGAAGATCCATCCCAATGGCTGTGAGTGTAGAAGCTCCCACGGAGGGGACAGAACTGCTCCGTGTGTCCTTAGCAGAACATAGTGACTGCAGATTCAAACGATATTTTGAAGCACGAAGCTTGAGATCTTCAGAGGAAACCGTTACACGTGGCCTTCTCGGGCCCCATGCTGTGGAATGAATGGTAGCCCTTCTACCTGTTGTCAGAGAAGATCCCTGTGTTGAGCTGAGATTCTCGCACAGATTTTCATCCCCCATGAGTCCCTTCTGCTACCGTCATGAAAGGCAGAATCCAAAGAAGACGTCCACAGTCCCGTGAGCCCCAGGTCTGAAATATTTGTGAATAAGATTAGGTTAAATGAAATACTCACTTCCTACCTAGGACTGATTGATGGGCTACAGGCCTTAATACCCTTCTCCTCTGAATGTTGGTCCTCTAGGCCTCTCTGACTCTTGTTGGAGTTCATTGAGCTTGGATCTTCATGGTCCCTTCTTTTACTTCCTTTTCACTGCTTCTGCTTCCGACAATGTGCTCTTGTCTCATTTCTCCTTTCTCTGTCAATTTCACTCATTCTTGTGTGTATGACTCTGGGGTCTTTGAACGTGTTTGTATGAAGAGACACACAGATTGACATGCATTCTTGTGTGTGTGACTCTGGGGTCCATGAATGTGTATGTGTGAAGAGACACACAGACTGACATGCATTTCGCTGACTTTGGCCCCCACTGGAGCACAAAGCCTCCGTTTGACATGATCTGCCGATGGTGACTGCTGAAGGATTTGGATCTAGTATGTCAATATGTACTAAATAGCAAGGAAGTGAGCGAACAAACATGTGAATGAGTCAATGGCTAATGTAGTTCACATCTCAATTCAATATGACCAGGGCTGAGTATCTTTTTCCTTTGTCATGTTTATCTTGAGTTATTCATTTTCTTCCCTGCTTTTAATAATGTGTACCTCCGTCTCACAGATGTTAAATATAAGCACTGCTTACTGTACTAGACTGTTTTCTGAAGCTATAGCCAACTACCCAAGACTGTGGAATTTAGAGAGAAAACAGGTATAGCTTCCTCATAGTTCAGGAAGCCCATGAATACGTTGCTTGCATTGTCTTGGCTTCTTGGGAGGACTTTATGCTGCATCTCCTCATGATGGGAAACAAGAAGGAAGGTGAGTGCATGCTGCAGAGCATGTGTGAGGGGATGAGAAAGAGGGGTTCTGGTGTGCTCTACAGATGGCCAGCTTTCATGGAGACTTAGCCAGCTCCCAAGTGATGGGGTAAAATTACCATACATGGATAGGGATGATGTAGGCTAATTTTTTTGGGAGAAATCACTTGAGAAACCGATAACCCAGGGTCAGCGCTCCAAGCATCCAATCTCAGCTGCCCTCTGAGACCGGACCAGAATCCCCGAGAGAGGGAGCCTGTCCTCCCCTCAGGCCTAAATACCCCCACCCTGTATGTACCTGCGGCCACCCCAAATGGGCGTGGTCAGTGCCACAGGTACTTAGTAAGATCTCTCCCTACACCCAAGTCTCAATTCAACTCGGACACAACTTTGACTGGGGAGAGCTAACCTATCCTTCCAAGAATCACTTTGATCCATTCCAGGATGTGGTACTTTTGGTGTCCTAATCATCTCGCTCTGGATTCTTCCTCTAAAAGGTCTGTTCATCTCAGTATGTGAGGTTGGTGTGGTACTTTGAATGCAATTGGCCCCCATAAATCCATAGGGAGTGGCACTATTAGCAGATGTGGCTTTGTTGAAGTAGGTGTGGCCTTGTTGGAGGAAGTGTGTCACTGTGGGGTCGGCCTTTGAGGTCTCTTTTCCTCAAACTTTTGCTCACTTAGCATGGCAGACAGTCCACTTCCTGTTTCCAGTACTGCATACCGTATGCTCCCTGCCATGATGATAACCCTCTGAGCCATAAGTCTCCACCCCAATGAAATGTTTTACTTTGTAAGAGTTCCATAGTCATGGTGTCTCTTCATAGCAATAGGAACCCTAACTAACAGTCAGAGAGCAAGCTCTCAGCACATGGACCTCTGGGGACAGACACCATCTACCATGGCACACCTGTCAACCCCCTTTGTGTCAATTTCTTCTTAAAACCTATCTCAAGCCTAACTTTCTCTCCTCCTCCTCCTCCTCCTCCTCCTTCACCTCCTCCTCTTCCTCCTCCTCCTTCTCCTCCTTCTTCTTGTTTTTTTGAGACAGGGTTTCTCTGTGTAGCTTTGGAGCTTATCCTGGTATTCGCTCTGGAGACCAGGCTGGCCTCGAACTCACAGAGATCTGCCTGCCTCTGCTGAGTGCTGGGATTAAAGGCGTGCACCACCTTTAATGCCCGGCCTTTCCTTTCTTCTTAACGTTACCATCTTCTCTATCACATTGTACCCTGTGTGTCGGTTTATATGGCATCCTATCTCCCATCTTGGCTAGACTGTCAGCTCCAAAAAGGCAGTGGGCCCTCCATCTGTTTTTATATCTAATGTGCAGAGTACTGAATGCGATGTGAACTGGAAGGAAAGGGTAGGAAAGCCTCTTAGTCTGGCAGAGCACTTGTAGGGAACTAAGGAGTTGGGAAGGCAGAGTGTGCTCATACAATCTTATCACTAGTACAGCACACAACACATAAGAAGCAAAGGCCAGAGGAAGCCCCTGTAGACTCTCCAAGTCATGTGTGGAAAGGAGCCAGGAAAGTGGGAAACAAGGCCTGAGAAGTCTTCATGGGTCCAGTTGAAGGGAAAACTACAGATTAAAATGTTAAGTGAAAAGTTAAATTTTATTCTGGTCTGTGAAGTCAGCACTAAGAACCACTAGTTCTATCTTGTGCCCAGATTTATAGAAATGCAAATATGACTTTATATTGACGCTATTTCTAAAAGCTAAGATGTGAAAAGACTATTCTAGCCGAAATATCGTCTTGCCCTGTCCCCAGGGCTGAGCATGTAGCAGTTTGTGACCTGGCTTGTGGACTGGTGTTGTAGCAGAAGCCAGGGCCTCCTGCTTGCTGGGTCTGTGGATACAACGTGCAGATCAGAGTCAGGCAAGGGAGAAGAGAAGTCCCAAGCTTCTCCCCAAGTCGCTGATCAGACAAAACCAAAGCTGGGAGACAACACCTGTGTAACCTGGCTCGACTGTGCAGACACCTTTTTCTCGGAAGCATCTCCTCCCCTATCACCCAGCACGGTGTTTGATAGAGAAATTCTGATGCTTCGGGCTTCTGTAGGCACTGCACTTTCTTGCTTGGCTCTATGCTTTTTTTTTCCTAATAAAAGGAAAAGCAAAAGGAAATCAAAGGAAAAGCAGAAAGGTCCATCCTCCTTGTGTCTTCCCCACCTTCCCTTTTATTGTTGGTCTTTATTCTTTCTTCTCTCATTTTCCTTTCCTCTCTATGCTATCTACATACAAGTGATCATTCTAGAAGAACTAGAATATTTAATAATAATAATAATAGCTATCTCAGACCTGGCATTTTATTTCCACTGAGGAACCTCAGCCAGACTTGTAGTCGCCATTGGAACAATGACGTTCTTAGTTACACAGTCGCTGACATGGGCAATCTGTCTTGTTCCTCACTTTCCATTCATTCTTCTTTCAGAATCTTCCTCAGTGTTCAAGGTTTTCCCATCTCCACTCCAGCTTCCGTGGTCCACACTCTTATACTTCACATTTGCTGATAGAGTAGCACTCAGGTTTGGATTTGTCTTTCTCCCCTGTTTGTGAGCCCCTGCGCTCTGTGTGCAGTTTTCACACCGGCAGTTATGACCAGGTCCCTCCAGGATTCCTGACTCCTTCACTGCTTAAAGTTCTACACGAAGCTCTCCTACGAGTGGTAAACCTTTGCCACCAGCAGAGTTTCTTGTGTTTATTCAGAGCACCAACCCTACTGGATGACTTTCAGTTTTATCAGTGTGTTTTCTTTATTTTCTCAAATTATCCCTTTTATTTCAACGTTGAACCACTTGAGCAAACGATGCCTCGATGTCATGAAAGAAAATGAGTGTTGTCTAGAACTTCTGGGTGTTGTGAGCTGTAAAGGTGTCTTACACTTTGTAAAGGGGACACTCCTTAAAGCCTGGGCCTGACATTCTGAATGCAGTCTTTAATGAATTCAGCGGGGCCCTCTGTAGCTTTTAAGCAACCTTTTCCTTCTTTTGACTGGAAACAGAGCAGGTAGCATTTGATCGGCATCCATATCAGAGTTTGACAACAGAAGATGGGATGGGTGGGTGTAAAATTAAGGATGAAAGCTCTGGTCTGTTTTGTTTTGTTATTTCTCCATGGCTAAAGGTAGTATTTACTTGCTTTTCAATTTCTCCTGGATTCTACACCGTTGCAACTGTGGTGGCAAAGAGAGACCTGAGACTTAATACCCCCCCCACATGGGAGGGACGAGAGAGAAATAATCCCACAGCACCGCTTCTTGTATGGAAACTGGAGGGCTGATGCTAAATGTTCACAGCTAAGCAGAAAAGATGAGAAGGAAGATGGAGCCAGTTTTCAAATGATGGCGGGTTACTAGGATTTCAGTCGTGAATGGAAATACACTAAAAAAAAAAAAAATAGAGTGGTCAGTATAGCTAAGAGCTTACATTAAACAAATTGGTAAGAGGAAGAGAGGGGCATTTGTTAATTACCCTGATTGAGTCTTATAATACATCGAGGAGGAAAACACGTTAGTGTTGCTTAAGTTTAAAAGATGGGGAGAGAGATCCAGATTTTAATTCACCAAACATTATAGATGTTTCGTTTCTAGGATGGACTAGGAAAGCAGGTCCCTTGGATTTTGAAGACAATACAGGATTTCCATTTCTCCTGTTACTTCGGAAGCACTGCCTTCCGTACAGGGTCCTCTTACTTGACGGTTAGGTGAATGGAAAGTACACGAAGATACAAACTTAACTTCCTTCCTGCTTCCTCATGCTTCCTCTTCAGCAAGTTCTCAAAGGGACGGCTCAGGTTTTCTGCAGCGAAAGCTATGGTCTTTTTTTTTTTTTTTCTTCACGTTTTAGGACCAGTGACAAAAGGAAAAACTTGGCCAAGCAAAAAGCCGAGGCTCAAAAGAGGCTATATGGTCAGAACTCGATCAGAAGGCTTTCGCCAGGCTCCTCTGACTGGGAGCAGCAGAGGCACCAGCTGGAGAGGCGGAAAGAAGAGTTGGTATGGACCTGGGCTCGGGGATGTGGGGCGCAGGGTATTGGCTTGTTTTTATTATGTCTGGCACTGTGGTGCATAGTGAACCTGAGGTAGGCAAGCACCCTGCCACCCAGCTACCCTCCAGCCTGGTGTGAACACAGCCCGGTGTGAACATTTAACCACATGCCCACAGTGTGAACTTCATGACTCATTGCACTTTGTTTGTAAAATCTGTTCACTTTTAGAAAGAGAGACTTGTTCAAGTACGGAAGCAGGTTTCGAAAGAAGAGCATGAAAACCGACATATGGGGAACTACAGGTAACGTTTGTCCTTGTTTGTTGGTAGTAGGATTTTTAATTGGGTCACCAGCTCACAAATAATGACAGAGATTTCCTATTATTTATAAATGCTCGGCCTGTAACTTGGGCTTGTTCGTAACTAGCTCTTCCAACTTAAATTAACCCATTTATATTAATCTATATCTTATCACGTAGTATTCTCTTCCACCTTGTACCTCCTGTTTCCTGTCTGTGTCTTCTGGTGTCTCCCACAAGCCACGATTCTTCCTCCTTTTCCTTTCTTTCCCCGGATATCCCACCTATACTTCCTGCCCAGCTATTGGCTGTTCAGTTTTTAATTACACCAATCACAGCAATACACCTTGACAAATGTACAAATACCCCACAACATTTGTTTGTTTGAGAGACAGAAGAGGCGTCTGATCAATGGATTTTCATTACTAGTGATTTCTTCGTTAGCTATAGCTTTCCATTCACTGTGTTTCCGGAGAGGAAAGGGAGCCTGCAGGTAGACGATTTTGACTTGAGAAAGCTCTTGCCAGCAGACTTCCACTCTGCCCAGGGAGGTTTTTAACCAACTGTGACTGTACTTGGCCATTATGCACCATTTTAAGAAAGTCAGAATTCAGGTCTTCTTGCATTCTTCCTGGAAGCTTTTGGTGATTGCTGGACTTTCTTGTAAGCCTAATTGCTTAACAACCAGACAAAGTAAGATAGTATTTGAAGGGTCTGGGTAGAGTTAGCAGACAAGGGTGTGGGGGATCTTCACAGTACTCCCCTGGGAAGTACAAAAAGGGACCCCTTAATATTCTTGGGAAGATGGCCCCTCCTCTGTTACGATAAATCTTTCTGCCAAAAGCCGCCCGAGCCCCACAGCCACGTGTGCACTTTATGCCAGCTGCCGGAGTTCTGCCTGCCTCGTGGATGGACAAAATAATACACAGGCTTTTATTAGGTACAAATGCTGCTTGGCCAATGACTAGGATTCTCATCTGTTAGCTCAGTCTTAATTATCATAAATCTATATATTTTATAAGACTTACCTTATCAGACACCTTCCATTGGTGTCCCTCCTTGCCGGTGGATCACATTTAGAATCTGGAGGAAGAGCGGAGGGGAAAAGGAACACTTCCTATTTCTCCTTGCTTAAATACGAGTCTCCTTGCTATGCCACTTCCTGCCTGGATCACCACTTCTCTACTACATTTCCCAGAATCCTCTTTGACTCCTAGTCCTGTCTAACTTGCCGTCTCATTGGCCAAACAGTACTTTATTCAATAATCAGTAAGATGAACATACACAGAAGTACATTCCCCATCATCTCCTCCCAGCCAACCTCATGTTGCCTCCTCAGAATTTAGCAAAGGCTGGGGGAGGGGTGGATTTTCTTACCCTTCCTTTAGATGTTATTTCCTGGTATTCACATCTCCACAGCAGCAAGGAGAGGGTAAAATACGTTTCCCACACTCTGCTTCTACTCTGCTTTTGTTTCCCCACCTCAAGAGATAGTTCAGAAGAGTATGTGTTATCGCCACACCTTCTTCACCGTCCCAGGTCTTCAGGACACACCCCTCAAAGGTCAATATCTCACCAACTGTCCAATCGCCATTCTTTGTGCACACTTTTCAGACAAAACCTATGCTCCACTCCCAGTGCTGTGCTGTTCAGTGAAATGGCTTTATGTAAATGTTAACAGGTATACCAGGTGTATATTTGTGACTCCCCCTTAATCATTCTTGTTTGTTTCTAGAACCTGCTTGGCTCAGAGCAGGGAGGGCAGTGGTTTTCTAAACAGCTGATCTTAACTACTGAATTGTGTTAGATCCTTATACGGAAATGGGTTTCTCTGATCTTCTTTTCTGTAGGAGAATTTATCCTCCTGAAGATAAAGCACTGCTTGAAAAGTATGATAGTTTGCTGTCCGTTGCATTCCAGACATTTCTTTCGGGAAGAGCAGCTTCATTCCAGCGAGAACTGAACAACCCTCTGAAAAAGATGAAGGTAAAAGGGCGAGGGTTCCAATACAGGAAAAAAGGTCTCATCTCTCTTCTGAGCAAAAGCAAACCTCCTTGAGATTATTTCTGAATTTGTAATGATACTGTCCATATACTCTATTGTAGGATCATAGCATGTTAAGAGCCATTCTTCCTAGACTGAAATACATTTCTGCTATGAGATGTGAATCCTAGTTTCTCCAGTAAACTTTAAGGAGAGTTTGAAGTATAAATCACATCTGTGTGAACATAGTTTTGTCAGTGTTGGGGCCTGGATGGCATAATGAGGTGTTTGATTGTACCCCTCAGCACTGCTGCTCTGGTTCACTCGACTTCCAAGGGCAGTGTATGGTCTCCTATTTGTTCCTTTGACTTCAAAATAAATTTAGAGGAGCATTAAGAGAAAGCTATTGGTGTGATTAGAGATTTCCTCTACCAGTAGTAGTCACAGAATGAAATATTTTATAAGGCTGTAAAATATTCTTGCAAAAACTAATGTTTCTAAGCAGCTTCATTAAATGGTCCCATTAACCAAATTCTCACATTCAATTCTTTCTAAATGAAACACTCAAGCCAATTTTCATTTTCTGTGTCAGGTTTTAATACTAAATTGTACCAATCAGTATAGGAATGATTAATGGGATGAAGTCTGGGAGATGGGCATGGACTTTTGCATATCTTAGTGTTGAGTGAGCTAATCTAGTAAAGTTGGGTTTTCTGAGGTTTTAGTCGTATGCTGAAAGGGACATTGCTTGCTAATGATGAATTTGCCTTTTATGTTTCCTTATTTGATGTAATTTTCTCCTGCATAGAATAATCACTGTACATGAACTTACAGAGGCTAATGAACTTGAAAAAAGCCTATATTTGTTTTGTGATCACAATTTTAATAATGTTTTTGAAGGAGGAAGATCTTTTGGATCTCTTGGAACAATGTGAAATTGATGATGAAAAGTTGATGGGAAAACCTACCAGAACCCGAGGACCAAAGGTGAGATGTCACTTCCTTCCATAGAGCCAGAGTCCATGTCACTAAGTTCAAGTGATTCCTCCTTGGTGCTTCCTGTAGGAGCTATGATGTATAGGAACTTCAGGAATTTTGTGTCCAGTAAAGGTAAAACCAGGCAAACGTTCACAAGCTGGGTTTCAGTGGCTGCCTTCAGAGTTTGGTTTGTTGCCAAGTACTAATGAATGCCAAGTGACTCAGATAGGCCAGAGTTAGGAGGGCTACCCCTGTACTAAGTTCAGCATTAGGATTTTGTTATAGAACCAGATAAATAATTAACAAAGCAGTATATAGGATTATAGATAAGACAGATTGTGATTCTAGGGATACATTAGCAAGGAACCCTTCTATCTGTTCATCTAGTTCCCGCACAGTGCATTTCCACATTGTGTGTTTAGTGTGATTCTGCTCTCCCTTTTCTTTCCTGTCTCTCATCCCACTCATTTCCCATGTCTTCCTAAACCCTTTCTTTTTACTCTCATATTAAATGTGTACATGGTTTTATGTATCTATGTAAAATCAAGGAATCACAACTGAGATGAAATCTACAATATTTACCTGAGATTGTCTTAATTTACTTACTATGTCTGTGTCCAGTTGCACCTGTTTTTATATAAATGACATGAATTTGGCTTCTTAATGGCTGAAAAGTTTCATTGTTTAAGTGACCCACATTGTCTTTGTCTGTTCCTCTGCTGTTGACGTTTGGGTCAGCGCTGTAGCATAGCCATTGTGAATGGTGTGTAAGTAAGGACTGATACAGGAGTCTCTGTGCTGTGTTGTCCTGCGGAGTTCCTCTTTTGCTGACACAGTGACATTGACAGTGTGTTCATAAAAATAGATTCAGCACTTAGGAATGGGAAAAGCTTAGGAATGTGTAGGCAAAGAGAGGCAGCTGTTTGCTTTACTCAGCATGTGTTTTGTGGTGACCTTGTTTCTGCAGTTTAATATATGCCAAGTTCCTCAGCAGCAGGGAGGAGAGAAGTTGAAGTTGGGAAATCATAGGCACATTTATCGGTGCATTCCTTTATTTATATTTCAGCACTGGCAAGCCATCTGTAAATTCATAGGCCTTATATTTGCTAGGCTCTCATGCTTTAATAACCTGTTTACTAAAGCAAAGTAGAAAGGAGGCCTCAGTGATGTGTTGCTGGATTAATTAAGACTCCCTCCTAACCAGGTTGCAGCATGGCTACTCTGTGTGAACTTGCCCTGGCACCACCATGTAGACTTAAGAATCAGCACCCCTCCCCCTCCTTCCCATAAATAGTGCTATTTCAGAGCATTTGTGATGAGTCATCATTTATGTGCCATTGTGAGTACCTTAAAGGTGGGAAGTGGATTTTCTCTTTCATCTATAGCACTAAGAGTGTCTAACACATCTATTGGTCAGAATTATTGGAATGTGTTCAAATGGTTCTCATTAACTAGTTGGAGAGTAGACAGGTATTTATCAAAGCAAAGTGAACTTGGTGAGTATTGAAAGAGTTTAAATTATAAAGGGTTGACTGAAGACAGCTTTCTGGAGGCCTTTCCATTTGAATTGGATTTACAAAATGAGCCCTGCTCATTTGGGTTAGGAGGGACATTCAAGGTAAAACCTTGGAGCTATGATTCTGTATCTGGTGTGATGGAAGCATGGTTGGGGTTGTGAGACTGTGTCTGGTGTGCTGGAAGCATGGTTGGAGCTGTGAGACTGTGTCTGGTGTGATGGAAGCGTGGTTGGAGCTGTGAGACTGTGTCTGGTGTGCTGGAAGCATGGTTGGAGCTGCGATTCTGTATCTGGTGTGATGGAAGCATGGTTGGAGCTGTGAGACTGTGTCTGGTGTGCTGGAAGCATGGTTGGAGCTGCGATTCTGTATCTGGTGTGATGGAAGCATGGTTGGAGCTGTGAGACTGTGTCTGGGGTGCTGGAAGCATGGTTGGGGTTGTGAGACTGTGTCTGGGGTGATGGAAGCATGGTTGGGGTTGTGAGACTGTGTCTGGTGTGATGGAAGCATGGTTGGAGCTGTGAGACTGTGTCTGGTGTGATGGAAGTGCGGGGTTTGTGTCTTTAGGAAGAGGAAATGAAGAGAATGCAAGGTGAACCTGGCAAGGGGCACATGTGTGAAGACCTCAGATGCCAGACATTATTCTGAAAGCTGAAAATTCCTGTCAAACAAATGCATTTAGATCATCTGGGAAAGTGAATGCCCTTATGAATCATGGCTCCCTTTGAGGAAACATTTGCGAGCTTATTTGGAGGTTCTTGCAGGGGAGCACAACTACTCGTATACCCTTGACTGAAGACCGGTCCTCCTCTATTCAGGGAAGGTTGTCGTCTTCATTCAAGCCCACAGCATCCGGACGGACACACATGGAGTGGTGAAAAAGGAGGGGTCACCTGCCGAGCCAGATCAGCCGTCTCAACCCTGGCGATCAGTGGGGTGACAGATGTCACAGCCAGATCAGCCATACCAACCCTGGCAATCAGTGGGTTGACAGATGTCACAGCCAGATCAGCCGAATCAACTGTGGTGATCAGTGGGGTGACAGATGTCACAGCCAGATCAGCCGAATCAACTGTGGTGATCAGTGGGGTGACAGATGTCACAGCCAGATCAGCCGTATCAACCCTTGTGATCAGTGGGGTGACAGATGTCACAGCCAGATCAGTGGTATCAACCCTGGCGATCAGTGGGATGGCAGATGTCACAGCCAGATCAGCTGAATCAACCATTGTGATCAGTGGGATGACAGATGTCACAGCCAGATCAGCTGAATCAACCCTTGTGATCAGTGGGATGGCAGATGTCACAGCCAGATCAGCTGAATCAACCCTTGTGATCAGTGGGATGATAGATGTCACAGCCAGATCAGCTGAATCAACCCTTGTGATCAGTGGGATGATAGATGTCACAGCCAGATCAGCTGAATCAACCCTGGCGATCAGTGGGGTGACAGATGTCCCAGCCAGATCAGTGGTATCAACCCTTGTGATCAGTGGGATGACAGATGTCACAGCCAGATCAGCTGAATCAACCCTGGCGATCAGTGAGGTGACAGATGTCACAGTCAGATTGCTCTCACATCCTTGGGGGAACATTTGAATATCCTAAGCTTTGAATATCCTATAAATACCATGCATCAATCCATTGTACTGTTGGAGTTCCTAAGCTTTGCATAAAAATCATGAGTTTGCTAAAACCATCTTAGACTACCTGGGGACACAGCATCCGTGGTGCAAAGGCTCCGAGGCATCGTGTGTTTTCCTTCATTTTGCTCACTTAGACTTGCCACCCAAAGGAAACTCTGGATGGTCCTAGGGAAGAACTCAGGTTGTGTGTTCTCCAGCTTCTGTCATCCAAGATAAACAGGAGGCATTAACAGTATATTTGCTGAAATGAAATGGATTGAGTAATTATTCCTTAATTATTTGATAAAGTCAGCAGCATTTCTAAGTAAATGAGGTCATCATAATTAATATAGAAGTGTATCTACAGCTTTTGTTTAAGATTTACCAGGGTTTCTAAAGTGACCCAAACTTCTAAAGTGAACTTGGGCTTCAGAGGGAGAGTGCTTCATTGTAAACACCTGTCACCAAGGTCTTCATTAGTTGAAGAATAATTTGAAATGCCCTTGGTTAAATCATCTTTGTACTAGGATGAGTAGTAGTAGCATCTTATTTATTTGAAAATTTAAGGAATATTAGTTAGCCTCACAAATAAGTGCTACATAAATCATCAGCAATGTTCTGAAGTTGGTACACATACATTTGTTTTTTCTATACATTTACGTATTTTTCTATCTGCCCTATTTCATAATAAAACTATAAGGAGAATTAAGTGGCGTGATTTGTATCATAACATCATGGTACTTTCAAAATCCCATCTGATAGTTAGAGTGCTATTGGGAGTTTGCATTGCTGTGACTCCTGTAGTCAGTGTCTTTGGGAAAGCTTGAAGCCTGGCTGTGCCAGCATTCCTTCGGGGTATGCTAAACTTCGGAGGAGACATCTTTTCTCTAGAGTTCATGTTTACCAAAGTTGTCAGTGTGTTTGATAACTGTGTTACTGGCAAATGTTTTTATGCATTTCTGTTTGAACATTTTTAGTACTCTGTAAATATCAGACCACCAAAAGGAGAGCATATGTTAAAAGATAAGTTGGTAACTAGTGTATTCAGTTCCTTTCCCACTTGGGCTGTACATCGTGCTTTGGCTTGCTTTGTATTCCAGACACTTCTCGGAATGCTTCTCCCTTCCTTCTCTCATCCTACACTGTCACACTGGAGGGTCATAGTTTCTTTCCATAACTTCCCATGGCATCCAAGAAATTTATTATGATATACAAGAACACCAAAGCCACTAGTATACAACTGCAGCTGCCTGTCTCAGCAGGAACAGGAGGTGTGTGGTGTGTGTAACAAGCAAGCTTACAACAATTGAGTTACAGAACTATTTTGCTGTTCGTTGTGTACACTCTTCGTGAAGTGAGGCCATTTTAACTGTCTCCCTGTCTCTTCTCCTGGTGTCTTTGTCTATCATGAGGAGTGGAAGTAGTTGATTCTGTTAGAAATATTAGGACACAGTACCATGATAATCAGACCTGTATGGAGTCACTCTTTTTCTGTAAGATTTCACACCATACTGATTTTCCTTTGTCACACTGATGACAAAAGCCGTGTCACTCCACTGTGGCCAGACTGTGTCAAAGTTAGAGATCCTCTATGAAGGGTCACAAGTTGTCTGTGATAAATTTAGTAAAATGTTTATTTTACCAAATACATGAAAGAGCTTAGTGAATCTAACCCTGGGTTCAATTCCAAGAAAATAAATAAAGGAATAAATAAAAATCAACTTGAACTATTCATCTGAGCAATGGCTGACTTCCCGAACATTATCTGAGTGGTTAGATTCTTGGGCTCTGTTTGAGTGTGTGATGTTGTTGTTGTTGTTTGTTTTGGTTTTTCAAGACAGGATTTCTCTATATAGCCACTCTGGCTGTCCTGGAACTGTTTTTGTAGACCAGGCTATCCTCAAACTCACAGAGATCTACCTACCTCTACCTTCTGAGTACTGAGATTAAAGGCATGCACTACCACCATCTGGTTTGAGTGAATGATTTTACTTCTAATGGCTTCTCTAGTTTCTGCTTTCTTAGTCCCTTTGTCCTTCTTGCCTTTTTTTCTCCCTCTTCACCCACTTACTTTTTATTGGGTAAGTCTTGATGACTAATCTCTCTATATAGAATGAACAAAAGCTGATTATGTTTATGGTGTCTATATTTTTTAAGATCAAACATTTCCCCTCACTTTGCTATTCTTTGTTTACAGAAACTCTTTGTTCATTGCAGTCATATAGAAACATCATTGTCCTCATCAGGGCTGAGCCATATAATTGAAGGATATTCAAAGAAACCTCACAGCTAGCGTGTGCTCTACTGGCTAAAAAGTACCAAGCAGTAGAGAAGGGACTGCCATATTTAGCAATATGCAGCAAGCGTGTGGGGATTAAAGGTAATGACTGTCCAGGGTGTTCTAACCAGATAGCCTTCGGCTCTGTTTCAGCCCCTGTGCTGCATGCCAGAGAGTGTGGAGGTAATGAAGAAGCAGAAGTGTTACAGCAGCAGCGAGAGCAGCTTTGACAGCAGCTGCAGCAGCAATTCAGAGTTGGAGGAGAATGAGAAAGAATTGTGTCAGAAGAGGCGAGAGCAAGCCCCGTATAACCTTAAACACACCAGTCACTGCAAGCTAATTCAACAATCCAGTAAGTCAATCTCTCCTACGTTGCATGAAGAATTATAGAATTGAAATTCTCAAACTCAATAAAAAGTCCTTGGGCCAAAAGAAGCGTTGTCATGTGTAAGGGACCTGGATCCTATCCCCTGTCTTTCCCTGGCCAGAGCCTGGTCTGTCCCTCAACCCCTCTGCAAGTAGGAAAGAGATTGAATTGAGGACCCTTCCTTCCGTCTTGCATGGTTTGCCTGCTGAGTTGTGGCATGGGTTTTACAGATGTGTGACAAAGCTTTCTCTTGGAGGTCCACATCAACTCTGCTTCAGTTTCCACCTATCACCCACTTTGCTTGCCACTGTCACCTACTTTTAAACCTGTGCCTGTCTTTCTGGGCATTTAAGTCGATGTATCTGTGAGGCCCAGAACTGTGAAGTAGTTGAAATTTTGCTCGCTCTGGCTTTCATCTTGGGTAAGTAGTTAGTCAGGACTGTGCACACACCTATTTGGGAAAGCAACCAACTTCTCTTCTATTTCTCTCCCTCTAGTTATCTTCACACTCTCTCTCTTTTCCTTTCCTTCTTCCTTCAATCCCAGATGTCCCCAGATCTGGCCTCTGATTTGCCACTCATCCTCTAATATGAAACCTAATATTCTCCATTTTCCTGGATTCCCTTGAAGTCCTGCTGCTGCCTCTGAAGTCACTCAGCCATTTGCATAGCACACAGTGTACCAAGGTTCCACCAAAGCAGCCAGCTCAGCATTGCAGTAAACATGGCTGGAGCCTTTGCAGATTTCATCTCCAGCAATGTTTAATATATTTGGGTCCTGATAATGTGTTTTAAAACTGGCCTTTGAGGCTTGTAGTAAAATGCCCTAGGGATGAAGAACTAATAAATGAAGAAATCAGAGAACCAATCCTTTGTTTTTTGTAAACATTCCATAAAGATACATGCCCCCACTGCTCATCATGGAAGGGTTGTGTGTTTGGAGGGGAAACAATGTACTATGTTCCATCTCATTGATAGATATTTTCCAGTACCAGCAACTGTTAGCTATTATACTCCTTCACCTCTTCTCCTTAAGGATTCTGTAAGTGTGTCTCTGGATAAATATGACTCAGTTTTTATTCTGGAAGCTGACGTTTTTATGTCCAAATTTTGCTGGGTTTTAGATCCATTGCCTGTTAGCTAATGTCACTATTACTTAATAGCATGAACTGATGATGGTCAGGAGAGATTGTTCTATGCTCTGAGATCAATAGGCTAAAGAACTGAGATCAGAGTAGCGTGATAAAGTCAGATATAGAATTAAAACACATTTTGATGTAGGAATTTTCATTTTCAGCCTAATTCAATTACGTATTTATTTCCTTATTGTGAGTTTAGGTGGGGATTATAACAAGGGCTTCACTTTGTTTAGTGTTCTCTCTTTAATCTTACTCTAAGAGCCTTATAGCCACAAATCCTGCACACACTGATGACCAAGGTCAAAATCCAGATTATGAGTCACACTGTCTTGTGCAGACAATAGACTTAGGGTATTGTTACAGTCTCAGAAACAACATAAAAAGATTTTTCAACATAATTTATAGATAGAAGTCACAACTTGCATATATCTCTGGTGTATCAAACTACTTTAGTCTTCCTGTCTGGATTTCCAGGTGTGTAGGTAAAATAGTCAGCATTTGCGCTGATTCCAGAAGATATTTCCCTTCTGACCCAGGATCAGGGTTTACTTACTCTGTCCTTCCTTATCTTAGACTGGGAAAGAGGGTAGAGCTACAGTGTATCTTGGAGCAAATAGCTTAGAATCCCTTTTTTGGTAGACATGACCTTTGTATTAGCGGTGTATATGAAATATGTGACCTTTGTAACTAATATTTTTTAAAGGTAAACTGGCCAGTTTTCTGTTCCTATATATATGTGTGTGCAGTTAAAAAGTGCTGTGTGTCACAGCTACAGAAGGAAGTTAGTGGTTGCAACACACAGAGGTTTTTTTGCTTTGTTTTTAGACAGCATTTTCTAAAGCTTGAATGAGTGTGTACTTTATGCTCTCCAGAACATAAACAGTACTGCATTTCCCACATGCTCACAGTGTCTTTTAGAAGCACTCCCCTAAGTCTTCCATTTTTAACCACCACCTTTACAAAGCTTTGAATTCTTTTCAACAGCCGATGAAGAGACATACATATTTGGGTATGCAACCTGGCTTCATGTGAGTTTTACTAAATTATTTAATTAATGAAGATTGACATGTTCCCCTAGCAGGGAACAAATCCAGGATAGAGGATCTGCAGGGCAGACAAACAGAAGAAAAGATAAAAATGCTGATGGTGCTGAGCAGTTAGTTATCTTTTTCCAGGTCAGAGGCCGCAGCTTAGCATGGCCATGTGCTTTTTCTTCATCAATGTTCCCAGAATGCACAAGGACACATATTTGATGGTTTCCTTGGATACTTACTCTGATAGCAGTCCTGTTCCTCGATTTTATTTTCTTCTTCACTTAAATCTTTTGCTATTGAAATTCTCTCTCTCTCTCTCTCTCTCTCTCTCTCTCTCTCTCTCCACCAATTGGCTACAGCTCTTTTAATAGCCAATTATATTTAAATTACATTAGAATACTCTTTGTATTATTCTTTTGTTTTGTGACTGTCAACAGAGGCCCCAGATTCTATACCTTATCTCTTTACACTGGCCACTCTCTGCTTTCCTTTCCTCCTCTCCTGTGATCCTTGCTGTAAAATGTAAACTCTCCAACATACACCCAGAGGCTAATAGTCAGTTTTCAAGCCAAGGTTAGATAACATAGATAATAATGTCATTGTAATGAAAGTGGAGGCTTTTAGCATTAGATGGTGAGGATTCTAGGTGCTGGCTGACCTTGACCACCTCTTGCTGTGATGCTTTGGGAAGGTTCTTTTTCTGCTGTTCTGACAGTAGAAATCCATTCTCCTGGCTAGAGAGATGGCTCAGTGGATGACATGATTGCTGTCAAGTGTGAGGACTTGCATTCAGGTTCCCAGAACCCAGATGATGCCAGGTGCAGTAGCATGTCTGTAATTCCATGTTCCAATGGCAAGATGGGGAGGTGAAGCCCTGAGAATCCTTGTACTGTAAATGGGGAGTGGTGACAGCTAGTCTTGTGTCTACAGCCATGGATGATGAATGATGAGAAGACCTTATCACAAACAAGGCTGAAGGCAAGGACTGAAAACTGAAGTTGTCCTCTGAACTTCCTATGTGTGCCATGGCGTGTGTGTCCCTGCATTCACGTGCATGAACACACACACACACACACACACACACACACACACACACACACACACTACCTCACACCTTCTGCAGAGGTTTCTGTAAAGCAGGACATCAAGGCGCAGGACCTTGCAGGATGCATGGCTCCCAAGTGATCATGAGCGTGTGTCCCCTTCCCTTTTGCTCTAATGTCTCTCACTTTCAGAATTTAGAATTTAATTCTTGTCCCAGCACAACCACTCTTATATGCCAGAACTGTTTTGTCCCAAGTGCGCTGTTCAAACTGAAGAATTAATTCTGAAGTTTTCATCTTGTGATGGTGTCTAGGCTTTGACATTTGTCATCTATCTAGCCACCACCTGGTCTAATCATTAGTCTGTGGAGACCTAATGGGGAAAGTGTACTAACAGCACCAATTCTTCATCATCGATAGATTCCATGAGGCGTTCGGTCAGCTGCCCTCGATCCATCTCTGCTCACTTGCCTTCCAGTGGGGATGCACGCCCCTTTTCTTCTCAACAAATGATGCCATTAGCAAGACCAACGTCAGCAAGCCGGTCACATTCCTTAAACCGTGCTTCCTCCTACACGAGACACCTGCCCAACAGTAACGATGCCAGCGCTGCCAACTCTATGGTGGTAAGCTATCGATCAGTTGTGCCCTTTCAGGCTTGCAGAACAGCCATACTCGGGGTGTAGGTGGCGAAGAGGTCAGGATGAGATGAGGCGTGGAACCCTGACCTTTCTGTATTTCAACTCACGATCTTTGGAAACTGCGTTGTTCGCGTATCCTAGACCCTAGTTTAGGATGGATTCCTAAAAGACAAACTTCACCATATCACAGACTTCAAGGAGGGATAGAAAAAAAAAATGCTTTTTTCCATTTTCCGTTGCAGGGGAGGGGGTAATATTGTTGGTAATCATCTCAGTAAATGCATGGTTTTGCACATTTATTCTATGGAACATATCTCCTAAGACTCTAGATTAATAGTTTAAAAAGTGATAAGTCCTATTCATAGAGCCTAGGTACAATGCTGCTCAGAATGCTTTCTGTACACTAAATTAGCATGCCATATCCCCCTTTCAGCATATACTACAGAAACTTACAATTGAGAAAGTCTGTAGTTTTATTCTATTTTCCTGGAGCTAGACCAGAGATATATTTATTGTTGATTGACATTGATGTTTCCAATGGCAAAACTCAGGAAGTATAAGTGAATTCATTCATTTCATAACAAGGACTGATTTTATTTTTCCAATCAAGAATTTGTAGCAAATGAAAGAGACTCAGAAGCCCTGTAAAATTCCTCATGCTTAGCATTTCTATCTTGAGCAACATAGGATACAACCAGGAGGAAATATAAAAGATACCCTTGGAAATAATAACAAATTTAATGCTAAATGTTTGTAAATGTCCATTTAAAAAAATTAAAGGTGGATCATTTTTACTTTAGAAATATCCTTTAAATTATATTGGCACACTGAAGTGAGACCCTCCCCTCCACATATCTTTATTCTTTCAAATTTAAGAATGAGTCTTTGCGGCAATTGAAAACCAAAGAACAGGAAGATGACCTCACAAGTCAGACCTTGTTTGTTCTCAAGGACATGAGGATCCGCTTTCCAGGGAAGTCAGACGCAGACTCGGAGCTTCTGATAGACGATGTGAGTATCTGATGCATATAAAACCCAAACAGCGCTAAAATGTGTTTCCTGGGACTGGGAAGGTGGGATCCATTGGTAAAGTGCTTGCTGGGCAGCCATGAGGTCTTGAGCTGGATGTCCAGCACTTACTTTAAGAGCCTGGCATGGCGGCATGCACCTGTAATTCCAGCACTGGGAAGCTGAAGGCAGAGACAGGAGGATTCCTGGGATTTGATGGCAGTTACCACAGAGTACCTGGTGAGCCCTGGGTGCCAGTGAGAGATTAGATCTCAAAAAGGTAATTCCTGCCTGAGGAAAGGCATCCAAGACTGATCTCTGCCATCTACAGGTGTGCATGTGCATGTATAAGCACACACACACAGACACACAGACACACACACACACACACACAGACACACAGACGCATAGACACATACATACATGCACACATACACACACACACACACAGACACACAGACATACACACAGACACACATAGAGACACACAGACACACACAGACACACACACACAGAGACACACACACACAGACACACAGACATACACACACACAGACACACATGCACACACACGGACACACACAGAGACACACACATAAACATACACATACACACACAGACACACATACACACACATGGGCACACACAGAGACACACACAGAGACACACACACAGACACACATACACACACATGCACACACACACACACACACACACACACACACACACACACACACACACACACACACACAGACACACACACACACACAGACACACACACACACACACACACACACACACACACGCACACCAGCATATGTGTGCACTGTTCACATATGTGCAAGGACACATGCTTCCCGTCCATCTACACAACAATATATTTTCTGGCCAAATTATCCTTCATTGCATGGGGAATGTAATCGATGTTCCTTTTCGCTCCAAGAAACTTTATAAAATAGAAGGATTCATTTTAGTTACTAGGAACGTTTTGTCATATAGTAAGGCTGTCAAGTGAGGGTAATTAACATCAAATAACAACTGTTCTTCATGATCAGAGAAATATCAGGATAAACTTATTTTTATATGGAAGCTTGCTAAGTTGAAGAAGTCTAAAAAGAGGTGTGTTGAGAATAGTAGCACCCTGATGGGAAATGACAAGAAGACTTAAGGGCGATGTGTGGACTATCCTGTGTTCAAACAGTCTGGCTGAGTTGGTCTCTCTGTGCCACCCAGTGGAGACTTTGGAAACAGCAGCAGTCCAGAAGCTCAGCTCCAAGCTTAGAAAGAAATCAATCCAAGGGTCCAGAGATGGTTTGATGGAAGAACATTTCTTCGCTTGAGTTTCTCTTCTCCACCCAGCACACTTTAAAATGGCCATTCTTAGATCACTCATCAGCCAGAGAAGGCTGTTTGGAGTGGGGTGGCTTAGGTTGTATTTTTTTTTCCTTCCCTGAAGACAAGGCACCATCTAGTGGTTGATATGAAGAATAACAACCACAGCTTGCCCTGTTTCACTGTTCACACTGCTTTATAAAGCAAGTCTATAGAAAAAATGACAAGAGAAAGTTTTCTTGCTATAAAAGCCCATAAGGGCATCATATTCTTGTTATAAGATAATTATAAACTGTCCAAATGTTTTTTATTTTGTGGTGACATGGTTTTTCACAAGTGAAAGTAGTATATTGTTTGCAGGGGTGGGGGGGAGCTATTACTTGTTACAGTAAAAGAAACTTTAGATTGGGTATAAGGCATATGCTAGATATGTTTTACAATTGTAAATTACATTATTGATTGATTGATTGATTGATTAGTTGTGTATGTGAGTGGACACATGCCATGACATACATGTGGGGGCCAGAAGACAACTTTGAGAGAGTCAGTTGTCTCCTACCATCATGCATGTCACAGGGACTGAACTGCAGTTATAACATGTGGCAGTGAGCACCTTTGCCCACTGCCCTGTGTGACCAGCTGAATAAGACTTCATTCTTAGATAGGGTTTATTTTAAGAGAAGCCAATAACTTTGCACAGGATATATCGTTTTCTGTCTGTTTTTGTGATCTGCTTTCTTACTTTTAAAATGTACTCATTTTATTTGTATGAGGATTTTTCCTGCATATACATGTACACACACACACACACACACACACACACACACACACGTATACCCACTGCTCTAAGGTCAAAGGCATCAGATCCCTCTAGAACAGGAGTTATAGTTGTGCATCACCAAGTGGGTGCTGGGAATTAAACCCAGGTCCTCTATAAGAGGATCAAGTGCCTTTAACCACTGGGCTGTCACTGCAGCCCCATTAAGGTTATTTTTTAATTAGAAAATGAGAGTGTAGAATTAATATTTGTGACTAATGTGATTTTCCTATAAAGAATATTGCTTGGCTTATATAATTAATGAAACATAATTAATAATTAATATCAGACATTAGATTCTTTGCTGCATGTCTACTGTGTTCCAGACTTGAATGTTTGATGCAGCATATATTACCAGAATATATATCAAGAAATTCTATAGACATACAGGTAATGCAAAGAAAGGGTCAGTAAGATCCTAATTGAATGTAGGCTGATTTTAATGTATTATTAAATATTCTATTGCTATGTGGGTAGCATAGCAAGATGAAAAAAATCTATGGGTTGGGTTTCTGCCTAAAATATGTGTGACTACAGGTTTCTGACTTTTGTTCATTGAGTGATGTTATTCTCAGTGACGAGAAAGAAGAGGCTTTGGATTTCGAACCCTTGGCTTGCTAAAGTCTTTACAAGTATCTTTTATGAAGGGTAGAGTTTTTTTTATCATGCATAGTCTCATGGTGCTTTCACTGCACAAATTAATAGAAGCTGTTCTGACACATTTACCTACCACCTCTGGTGAGCATTTTAGAATCAATTTGTTACCATCTCTCCCCCAACAGATCATGGATAACTGGAAGCATTATAAAACAAAAGTGGCTTCATATTGGCTCATAAAACTGGACTCCGTGAAACAAAGAAAAGTGAGTGACAAGAATCACTTTGCCCTTTGTGTATTCATTAAACTAAAACATTTAGTCAAATTCGTAATGATTTTATATGTGAACATTCATCTGCTTCTATCTTCAGCAAAGTTGTGTTAGACAAGGACCTAGATCATGAAGATAAAAAGCGATTTCAGAACAAAGTAGTTTAGCCGTGCAGAAATCAGTGAATCAGAATCTCAGCAGAGGGGGGAGCAGAAACAAAGATCACAGAGTGGAAATTAGTTTGATGTGCATATGGACCACAGAGGCAATTTTCTTAGTCACTAATATACTTGATAATTAAATTGTCGTGTAAAGTTAATTCATTTTTGTTGGAAAAGTAGGTGACACAGCAGTGGAGACGGGTGACTTTGGATGGTGAGGCACGGCTCAGATGACTAGTTTATGGGTTACAAGAAGAGGATTGGGTTTTAGTTTTACTTATGGGAAGCCACTGGAAAAGTTTGAGAAAGCATTTTTAGTTTGATTAGTAATTTTAAAGGACTGAGAACTACTTGAGAGGAATAAAATCAAGGCAGAGAGAATGTGGAAATCTTATCTCCAAAAAATCAAAGCCAAACAAAAACATGCCTAGAAGGCTTCTAGGGTGACAGAGGCAAGAGAGGGAGTAGGTATAGCAATAAGTCTTTCCGTGTGTGTCACCTGCATCCAGAACCCCAGAGAGGTCAGAAGTGGCATCTTAGTCCCTGAAACTGAAGATAAAGACCCTTGTGAACCTCTGTGTGGGCGCTAGCAACTGAACCTGGGTCTTCTGCAAGAGCAAGTGCTTGGAACCACTGAGCCATCTCTCCAGCTCCCTATTTAGTTGTGTTTTGATCTTGGAGTTGTTATGTTGATGAACTGACTAGATCTCTAAGCAGTGATATCAGTGATGTACATGTGAGTTTGAGAGTAGAGCTGAGGTTGGGCATGGAGATAAAAAAAAATAGGTGTCTGTTAGGTATTTAAAAAGAATGGGGCTGGACTGGACCACATAGAGTTTGTCAGAGAAGACAGGAAGTCTTCTGGCACTGAGCAGACAGGCGAGACAGTCCTCTGAGGAGGACTGAGAAGAAACAGGAGGTGCCGTGTGGAAAACAGAGATGGGTGTCCCTGAAGCCATGGGAAACAGACTAATAGGTCATAGATGAACTATAGGTTAGGCTGTGCAGGAAGTTGCTGCTAGGGCTTGAACATCAAGCTATCTGTCGTTTCGGGCAAATATGGAGGTTAGTGGTGACCACACATTTCGAGGACTGGTAGGGAGCAAAACTTAAATGGAAGGGATTCAATTACTGAATCTTGAAGGGGGAGGGGGAGCTATAGCTAGTGTAGACACTTGTCAAAAACATTGGGGGAAGAGGACAAAAGGAAATGGTGGCAATGAGGAGAGAGTTGTAGGCTAGAGAGGGCTTTTTTTCTACCTTAAAAATGAAGACTCTTTTCATTTGTGTTGATGAATTGATGACGGTGGCCTGGAAGAAGGACTGGCAGGGGGAGGCAATGCAAAGCTCTTGAGTAAACTGAGGTTTGGTCTAGCCAAGAGCAGTTATTGGAATCAGAGGGAAGATGAAGGGTCCCAGAGTGTAATGGAAAAAGTGATGTGCAAAGAGAGAAAGACAATGTAAGAGCTGCCAAGAAGAGTCCGGGGGGCAGGGAGGCTATTACATTAACCAAAAGTAACCACTGCAATGATGTTGGAACAATTGGCTTATTTTATTACATTAACCAAAAGTAACCACTGCAATGATGTTGGAACAATTGGCTTTTTTACAAGAAAGTAAAGGGAGCATATTTCTTATCATACACAAAATAAATTCCATGTAGGTTCCAGTTTGGTATATAACATAGGAAAACATGTCTTACAAAAGGAAATACAGAAAGATGGTAATAGTCATAGAGTGGGAAAAACAGCATCTTACAAAAGGCCTGACCAAGAGGGGTTAAAGGGACGGCCTGAAAGACTTAGTTATATGAAGACTTAAAATCAGGTGTGGCCGTTCTTCTCTATAAACCTAGCATTCAAGAAGTCAAGGCAGGAAGATTGTTGGGAGTCCCAGCCCAGTCTGGGCAATACTGTGTAGCCTTATCTCCAAAAAACCAAAACCAGACAAAAACATCCAAATGGGAAGAGACACCGTAAGTCAAATTAAAGAGAGAGAGAGAGAGAGAGAGAGAGAGAGAGAGAGAGAGAGTGTGTTGAGCAGGCAGGGGTGGTTTGGGGAAGATAGACATTTATTTACATAAAATGAAGGATAACAGCGGTAATTCTTACTAATCAATCATCCGAAGACAAACTAGTCTATAAAAAGTAATATATCGAAGTTCATAAAAGGACAATTTAATGGATCTTCAAACAGCCAATTAGCATGTAAATAGATCCTTGGCCTCACTAATGATGAAGCAGTAGCAAGTGGAAACTATCATGTTGGCCAAAATTATAAGATGGGTAATCCACACCAGTCAGACTCTCATGGCTAAGAGGGCCCTTACTCTGCTGTCAGAGAGTGCATCAATCTATCTCCTCAGAAAGGGCATTTACAGGACCTTTAGATTATGGGTGCTCATAGCCTTGTGACTCAGAGAAACCATTTCTTGCCTTGTGTCCCATAGATTTTCATCCTGAATAAAAGGAAAGATTTCCATATACCAACATTTATAACAGTGCTATCTAGAAAAGTCAAATTCCAGAAGCAGCTTGAGTGGCTCACCATGGGTGTATGGTTAAAAAGATCTGGTACATGCATGGAATTTAGTTGCATTTGATTGAAGACTATTCGTTATTCGTATCTGAGTAGAATATAGAATTCAAGCCTATGACTTAAGCCTTGTGAAACACGCATGATAGTAAAATGAAAGGAACATTCCTTGTCATTCGGGAAGAGCACAGCAAGAGGCAGACTTGGTGCAAGGTCCCTGGAGGCGATGTCCTCTGCTGTCTGGAGACATTTTGAAAAACTGGAAACGTTTTGGTTTGGTGTAACCTCTGGGCCATGTTGGAACAGAGGGAGTCTCATTTCAGCTTCCCCCATGCATCCTGAACGATGAGCTCCAGTATTAACAGCCAAGTGAGATAAAAATTCCAGGAATTTCAGGCTGAGTTTTTTGCTTTCTGAGGTCTGTGTCTGTAATATCCAATGCACTAGTTACCAGTCATGGGAGGCTCTTGAATACTTGAAATGTGGCTACTGTGACCATAGAATTGAATTTGTGACTTAGTTTCAATTCATTTAAATGTGAAGGGCCACCCATGTTTATTGACTTCTGCATAGACAGGGTAGTTCTAGACAGACAAGATATTCTTTTCTAAATGCATAATGTATCCATATGTGAATACACACACACACACACACACACACACACACACACACACAAACCCTTATCCATACTAACTAAAAGGCAGAGAGAGACTATCCAAAAAAAAAAAAAAAAAAAACTGTATATTGAAGAAACAACTTATAAGTAATACATAATGTACCATCTTACTTCTCTAATGAGTATATTAATCCAAAATTAACCAGTCTGTCTGTTTGTCTGTCTGTCTGTCTGGCATCAGTTCTTTTTAAAGCAGCCATGCAGTGACACACCCTGTACTCCCAACACTGAGGAGGAAAAGGCAGCTTATAAACTACACATGCATGGCCAGCCTTGTTTACACAGCAAGCTCTAGGCTAGTAGTTACGTAGTGAGATCCCATTTCACAGCACCCCCATTTGTTTGGACTCTGTGCCAAATTTTGCTGACTCATTTCTAGAGGACAGATGAGGGAGACAAGAGAAGGGAAGCGATGCTATTTGCTGCCATTTCCCCCTTTTCCTTCCATGTATTTTTATATTTTTCAAGGAACAGTGATCTTTTTACAAGTGGAGGGATGGCTGAGAGAGATGGACATGTCTGTGGGAGACAGGCTGGTTAAATATCAGGGAAGTGGGTTGGCTCTGTGTCCTAAGGGAGTGAGGAACGGAGGTGGAACTGGTCTCTGATCCCAGGCCTTTCATCTCGGCTACTTGGGCAGGAGAGTCACAGGCTCAAGTCCATCCTAGGCTTTGGAGTGAGTTCAAAGCTAACTTGGGTAATTGAGTAAAGAACCTACCTCAGAACAAATACAAAATAGGCTGAGGAATGTAGCTCAGATGCTTGCCTGGAATATGTGAAAAGTCCTGGGTTCAATCCCTGGAAACACAAACAAGCAAGTGAAAGAAAAGAAAACAGAGAATTAGAGGCTAGAAAACAAGAGGTGGGTAAAGACCTGGGACCCCAGCATCTTCCTCTCACTCCAATACACAGTTCTTTAGAACATCCCTGTCTGTCATCTTCATGTCCCTATCTGATTCCCCACAGCCACAAATTATCTTCCCTTTCCTGACTTTTCAGGGCATTTGCACTTGTGTTTTATGAACTGTGGGAGATTTATGAATTTTTAAAAGCCCTTTAGGGCTAAGGTACTATCAGCCACCTGCCTGGAGTCCTTCTCTTCTACCTGGAGAGACTTTCATAGGAGAGGAAAACTTCTGCCAGTGCTGGATGGCACTGTCAAGTGCCACAGCCCGAGGGAAGGATGAGTAGACCATGGGACTGGCACCTGGACCGCCATCTGTGGACTGGCACTTGGCAGAATTTGTAATCCTCAGTTTTGAACATCACTCCCTGTCTCACTGGTAGTCACTGGCAGGAGATTTGCCATGTACATTTGTTAAACCAGTTCAATTTTAGACACAGTTTTGGAGTTTTTTTTGTCAGCAAGCTAGCATCTGCCTGTATCCTCCTTTCTTTAGCAGCTTGGTGTGTATGTGAATGCAGCAGCACACGGCATGGTGCTCTGTGTTTTGTGTGTGATGTAAGAATGTCTGGTGCATATGAGATGAGCATGTGATGGCCGTGGATAGAATGCAGTCTGCCAGTGGAAAGGATTACTTCATGTATTATTTAAGGGTCACATTTTCAGGGATTTGAAATATTCAAGTAAATATAAGTGGTTGCTTCTGAATTTACTAGCA